ACTCCCTCTAATACAAAGTGAGTATAATCACTATGTGACCTCTCAACAAAGGAGTCACAAAAGGTGCAGGTGACTCTATCACAGCTCTATAGTACTCCTCTCCATAATTCCTCACAAGAAAATCTCTCCATATCCTCTTTTGTCTATATACTGTTCTAATCTCTACATAAGTGCTGAATCGAACCGGGACAGGTGGTTCGCGATTCAAATCCATGAAACAATCAGTATAGAATGTATATAGTACAATCCCAAGTCTCTCCATAAGTAACTATTGGAAGAATCAGTGGCACTCTTGACTCCATCACTCTAGTCATAAAATCTGCACCCCAACAAGCCACAAGGTACATCCGAAAATGATGTTTCTCCATGCAACGAAGGTGAATATCGAATAGGTTAGGAATTGGCCAGTGCGGTACTGGATTCCTGTCAATCCCGTCCATATCTGCAAAAACACAATGTCCCCCTTCCACCTCTCTCTACATGCAGATGAATGACCTCTGCCAGCCTCTATACACTCTCAAGACTACACTCCATCATCACTCACTTGCTATTCCATGAGGGGTAATCCACACTCAAGGAAAGAGCAAGGTCGCTCTGATACCATTGTAACACTAGGGTTTAGAGAGAAGTTCACTCGAAGATAGAAACGTAAACTCTGAAGATGAGAGATACCAACAATGGTTCTCCTCTCCCTTATATAGCTCTCACCAACAAGTACAAGGTGATAAGATCTAATCCCCACCATCCATACCACTCCTAGTGGATGGATGACGTGGCGGATAACCCTAACAAGCACACGGATCGCTGACGTGGCGCACCCAACTAACACACTCAATCCTTAGCTACAAGCACACGGATTGCTGACGTGGCACTGTCAACTAACACATTCACTCTGTACCTACCAAGTGCGCGGATCGCTGACGTGGCAACTATGACTAGTGCACACTAAAGTATCTACATCAATATTCAGAGTAACCTCTACTTTAGTTCTAACTAACTAAAGATGGTTACAGGAAAGCAAAGTTTGCACTCCCCTCACACTAACCACAACTTTGTCTACCACCCCCAGTGGTCTTACCTTCTGTTTGTTGGCCATACCAACAATTATGCTAGAAGGTCTAGAAGGTTGCATACCCAACTTCTGCATCAACCTCTCAGACATGGCATTCACAGCCGATCCACCATCAACCAACACATCTGATACATCATGTCCATTGATCCTCACTTCGATCTTTGAAGCATGTGTACATACCTCCGAAGCAGCCGCATCCACCACCCCAACTCCCACATTGGTCATGTGAGCCTTCCCCTTAGATTTCCGCTTCTTGGTCCTTGTGGAGATAAGACCTCCTCTTAACTCCTTCCGAATGGCTGGATTCAAGGCAATCAGCTGACCAACTGTTATATTGGCCTTCTGATTTCCTACATCCTCCACCACGTCATACTTAGCTTGAGAAGATGAAATGGAAAAGTCATCCATGCCCAACTTCTTCCTTGGTACTCTTGGTTGACTCACTCCACTTGACCGTGTACTTCGACTTGGCGTGTCCTCCATGAAAATCGACTCGTCCGCAAATCGGGCACGCTTCTTCTCATGAGCAAGGATATCCACTTTCGATTTTGAGCTCTCCCCTTTCTCAAAAGTGCATTGATGAGGAAATACATCAATGGATGCTACTCCCTTATCCTTGGCTTGTTGCGTGGCCGGTGCATTGTTGTTGTGCCGAACTCCATCATGTTGTCGAGGGTTAGGACAATTCCTCTGGAAATGAGGACCTCCACAAGAAAAGCAAGAAACCGCAAAGTTTCCTGAAGGTGGATTTCCTCTTGGAGGATAATTTCCATACCCCCTAGAGCCTCCTCCTACGTTCTGATTCCTCTTCTCCCACAACTGTACTACATTGATCTTGAGATCTGCTAGAGTCTCCGTGATAGATTTCAATTCATTTTGAAAATCCACACTAGGATTCGCTATCGTGGATGAAGTAGAAGGGTTTGAAACAATGGACCTTCCTACAACTGGTGGAGCTACTTCTCTAGCCACCAAGCTAGAATCATCATCTTCTAAGCTCTCCTCCATTCTAATAGCAATTCGAATGGCTTCAGCCTTAGAAGAGGGCTTCTCGTATCTCACCTTACTTCGAATCTCAGGTCTCAAACCTCCAACGAAGTTCTTCATGAGCATCGCCCTTATCCCCACCATTGTAGCATCCACTTCGTCTCCGCCCTTCCTCAACACCACGTGGAATCTAGATTCCAACTTCTCGGTTCTCTCCACATAGGTCCTCACCTTCTCGTTCTCTCCTTGTTTCAAGAAGGTGACCTCACACATCAACTTTTCATAACTTTCACTGGGAAGAAAGTTTTCGATCAGGTTCTCCGTTAATGTCTCCCACGTGTCGTCCTCCGAATGCTCCCTCTTGTACTCCTTGTACCACTTGAGAGCAGAATCCTCCAAGAAATCCGGCAAAAGCATAGCCCACTCGTCCTTCTTCCTCTCATTGTTTCCTATGCAAGCCCTCTTGAAGTCCCTAACAAAAGCTTCTACATCCTCATTCTCCCTCCCATAAAATACCGGAAGCTTCCCCATTTCCAACTAATTTTTTTTTATTTTTATTTTTATTGGAAATTTATATGGGGCTTCCTAATACAATATAAACAACACTAACTCCATCCTTGAGTAATTCATCAAAGGAAACACAAAAGGAATTGGTTGTTCCAAGATAGCCAAAGCTCTCTCCTCTCCTAGGCATACGATGAGTCTTACCCTCATCATCATCTTCTCCATCATTCGAATGATGATCTCCATCTTCAGTTGGAGCTTGAACCCGCTGAGGTCACTTTCTCTGTTTCAGCACTTAGCTTGCCGTCAAACCCTTCCACAAGTGATTCCAGAAGTGCCTTCACTCCGCTGCATTCGTGTCCCGCTGGTAGCCCAATCACTCCGCAATTGTCACAGAAGGTCGCGCTTTGGGATTCATGTGGCGATGATGGTCCCAAGTGAAGTTTCAAATCTCCCAAGTTCCTCTTGCTCCTCAATCTTCTATCTTTGTTCCGGAGGGAACAATTGACAACCTTATGGCCCTCCTCTCCACAATAAAAACAAGTTTCACGTTTGACTCTTGGAGATTGACTCACTACTCTTTCTTCAAACTCTACCTTGAATTCTCTTGTATTGGAGTCTAAAGACACTATAACATCCAAGCCTTGAGGTACTTTGGATAACCTAATCTTCCAACCTTCTTGTTCACTCATTTTCCCATAAGACAGAAACCACTCAAAAGACCTCTCCCAGAAACGCTATCTACTTGACGAAAACTGTGAATGAAGAAATCAAAAACTTTTGCTTTGTTATCTTGCTTTTGTACCCCCTCAACTTCAAATCATAATAACTTTGTCTCTAGACGTGATCTCTCAGTGAAATTTTGACTCAAACGTAGCTTATCTTCTAATACACACTCCTACGAAGTTTCAAAGCCTAAATTGAAATACAGAAAAAGTAATCAACTCTGTACAAACTTTCCAGAGAGCAGACTTTTGATACCCGTGAAAACCCCTCAACTTCTAACTCTCATATCTTTTTGTTTACACATGCTCTAGACCTAAAACAAAAACGTAAACGTTCTCTATCTTCCAATCTAAAATCAATAAAAACTTTGAAGAAAAACTTCAAAAATACTTCTTCGGTGTCTAAAATCACTTTTCTCTCAAAAAGACATGTTTACGTGAACAAAACATACAAAATCACTTCTAGGCTATCATATGAGACTATGGGATAAACAAAGGGAATTTCGCTCTCAAGCACACTCTCCGCTCTTTCATTCCCCAATGTTAACACCAAGTGATCCCTCATGGATACTTTCTCTCGAGCTAGAAATCGAATCCTAAACATTCCGCCTTCTAGATTGAGGTCCCGGCAACGGAACCAAAAATGCAACCTCCGGGCTGACTCTCACTCAGGTTTACCTCTGATGGCTTTGTGGTAGCGCATCATGGTTCTAGAAGACTAAGATTCATACTCTCACTCATGTCCCAAACACCTTCTCTTACAAACTCTCATGTATCACTCCAACTCACACACAACTCTCCTCACATCACCCTCTTCACATAAATGCAAACACACGTCGATACTCCAAGATACTCAAAAACTTCACTCCTTCATTACTGAAACAAGTCCTCACACATGACTCTCCAAACTTGCTTGAGAGGTGCTACTCTACCTCTCTATTTATACTACTTGAGAAGTTACCATAGTAACATGTGGTAATTTCTCCTAACTTACTTTTACCTAGGTAAGTTTGACTAACCTTCTCTACGTGGCAACATGCCATTGGCCTACCTAAACCTTCTAGAAGCTTCCGGAATCCAAGGTTGAGGTGGCGACATGCCATTGGAAGCTTTTAAACTTCTACAAGCTTCCTAGCCACTAAGTCAACATTAGACTTAGTCTAGCCAATCATCTTTCATACATTTAGTCAAACCAATCAAATCCAAGCTTCTAGTCAAATATCTAATCCCTTGGAATCTAGAACTTTTGTATAAGACAAAATAGAAGTGCTCACTCCTTGTAAAAGACAAAATAGAAGTGCTCACTCCATTCTTCTAGAACTCCGCTAATTACTCCGCCAACTATAGACATTGTAGCTAAACTTAGTCATGACTAGATAAACTTAGTTATAACTAACTAGTTTAGTCATAACTAGCTAGTCTTAGCTATGCCTTGGCTAATCATCCTTATTCCCTTGACCACTTCTAAGACTTAGTACATATGTGCAACACCCGGTCTTACAGGCCAGCAGTCACGCGTTAGCGGCAATGCGACTCACCGTCTGTTCATACTAGAACATTGTGACGTGTACCGTCGTTAAGGTCCCATCTGGTAAAACGAAACTTGATGGGTACCATCAAGCAAAAATGTTCTTAATGAGATACATCAAGCAAATATCTCATCCTAAACACGGTGTTTAGGATATAAGTTAGGTGTCCTTGTGGCCATGGGGAGGCTCGTCACTAAGGGCTCCCCACTTTCGGGGGAATGCGAGGTCTGCCGCCCGGGCCCGCAGCCCGACCTCCCGGGGAGGGCCGCCACGCTCCTGGGTTTAGGGTCTGGGGAGCCCTGAGTGGCGAGGGTCTCCCTGCACCATATATTAACCTGTTTAATTACACTGAATGAATTAGTGAGTGTCAAATTGTTAACCAAAGAGTGCTTTGGAAAAGAAAAGACTTGGATTTTTTTCTTTCAGGAATATGAGCCGGCTTTGCAAGGAGGATGTAATGATCGGCACGTTCGGTACACTTCTCATTCATTTTCCAGTCCGAGGAGAAACTTCAGTTCTTCTAGAAGTACATCCCGTGGAAGATGAAGGGAAAGAAGTGAAGAAAATTCTATATTATGGCACTTAATTATAGTGATCGTGTTTAGTCACATAGTAGGCCTGCATAATCATATTCATCTAAGTGGATACGACATTTCACTTTTCATATCATTATGATGTATCGGGAAATCGATGAATCTAGCAAACAACGAAAAGCGTTGTTGGCATGGCATTGTTGGACCGAGTAGTGCAGGGTTTAGTGATTTATCAACGTGAAACTCATATCCCCTTCCGTGAAAATCCTGGTACTTGGATGATGTATGCTCCGTGTATCGTACATGGCATTTTCGAGACGATAGACGTATGAGGTTATGAGCAGCCATCGTGCGAAAAAACCATGTGTCGAGTTTAATGATAAGTTATCATTAACTTAAACTAGGATCAGAGGTTTATTCCTGATAATTGTTTTATCTGGATGAAGAAGAGGGGAGCCCCAAACATGCACCTCCATTTCTCCTCCCCTGTGTGAGGGGAGGCCGCGAGGGAGAGCCCTTGGTGAGCGAGCGAGAGCCGGGCGAGCTAAAGCGGGAGGTCGGGCTGCGGGCCCGGGCGGGCAGAAAGCCCTCCCGGGCAGACATCGCGTTCACCCGAAAGTGGGGAGCCCTTAGTGACGAGGCATGGGAGGCATGGGGAGGTGTTTAAAACACCTCCCCACGGCTCATTCCATGGTCAGAAGGTGCAAAATAGAGTTGGCTACAAAAATCTGTTTAATCTCTGGTCCGAGTTCTGAATGAGGTCGTGTATCCTAGATCCGCTGTGTGAGTTCGATTTCTGTCAGCATTTCCAATAGAATCCTAATTCCACATCTTTCATGCGAAGAAAGACCAGTAAGCACTTTGTTGATTTGTTAACTCTGTTAACTTTGTTATTAAGTTAGTTGTGAAGTAAGCACTAAACGCGAATTATGGTTCCGCTTCATGAGCAGCCAGCTAGAATCTCTAAATCACATGTCACCGGTTGGTTGCCGGTCACAGCTTGGGGCCGGCCGGTTCCTGGCGTTCTTGCACCCACAACTTGACGGTCTTGTCTTCGAGATGGCCGCCGGAGGCGATCATGCGGCACTTGCCGTCGACCTGGCAGGCGACGGCGATCACGGGGTCCTCCGAGCGCTTGTGCGCCTCGAACTTCTGCAGAATGTGCTCGCTAATGCAGTCCCAGATGTAGATGTAGTTGTCCTCGGAGCCGCTGACGATGTACTGGTCCGCCATCTCCTGCGAGAACATGCAGTATTTCTGGTTGGTGTGGCCCTTGTAGGTTTTGTACAGCTCGCCCGTCTGCGTCAGATAACACCTCAGAATGCTGTCGTGAGTGGCGATCAGAATCAGCTTTCCGCCCGGAATGAATCTGGCGAACGAGACAGGCAGGTCCTTGTTTTCGAGGACGGTTTTCAATAAGTTGCCAGATTTGGCGTCCCAAATTCGGCACATTCCGTCGAAGCTGGTGGACACGACGAGGCGGCCATTCGGGTTGAAGCACACTGCGGTGACGGGGGCAAAGTGCGCCATTATCGTTTTTTTTTCTACCCCCGTGGTCGTGTTCCAGATCCTGACCGTCTCGTCGAACGATCCGGACACGATTCTCTTGGAATCGGGTCGGAAGTTGCAGCAGAAGACGATGCTCGTGTGCCCTCTCAAGATCCTCACGCATGTCCATGTCCTCAAGCTCCAGATTCGAAGAGTTCTGTCGTCGGAGGCGGTGACGATGAAGCTCATGTTCGGAGACCAATCGAAGTCATTGATTCCGTCCTCGTGTTCTTCCAGTTTTCCTTCCACCGTGCCCGAGCTTATACGCCAGACTATTACAGTTTTGTCGGCAGACGAGCTTCCGATCCACTGTCTGTCCGGAGAGAATTTCACGCTCGAAATTGCATTGCGGTGGCCCGATAGTGTTAATTTCAAGACGAATGGTACATAAGCTGACGAACCGGGACCGGAACTGGAACTGGAAGGTGGGGCAGCATGGTCGTCTGCCGCAATTTGGCGGCCCGCTACATCGGTCATATTGTGACCACTGCAGTTCCAAGCTATTCAAATTTCAAAATTTCAAATTTCAAAGTTCGAGTTCCAAGCGTTTCAAATTCTACTCGGTCTCCAAGAAGACGTAATTCGCGTCGATCATGTCCTCGAGTTTCGACCAATTCTGCTCAGCGTGAAATCTGCGCTGCTTTCCTTTCGAGCTCCGAGACTACCGAGTGCTCGTAACGGTTCGATGCAACTCTTGGCATTCAGAAACGCATGCCCAATCGTCCTTATGAAGTCGTCGATTCTCACTACAGCAGATCAGAGTCGCCGGATCTGAAACTTTGGAAGCGATTTTGTACCGCAGTCGATAGATTGTCGGAATTCAGATCGTGGCTTGCTTCAAGCGTGATTTCTGTCTTCCCGCCGTGACAGAAACTATGAGGAATGATGCTACCCAGAGTATTGCGATCAGTTGTAGGTCTTTTCTAATGGCAAAGTCTCTCGAATGTTGATAGTTCCAGATGTTTACACGCAAATCGGCAAAATTCCTAAAGGGCGTATGATGTACCTCTGTCTTACTAGACCGACATTATCGAATATTACTTTGGCTGGTTCCAAAATGATTTCGGGTCTAGGAAGGGAGGACATTCAAGGAATTCTCTTCAGAAGCGGTGAAGTTGTGGTTTCGAGAATAAAGATGCTGTAAGGAATTAGAGCCGACATATGGAGAGTACGAAACACAGCTTGAGTAATCAGAATCTGAAGCACTAGGTGCTAATGCCACGAAGCGACTTCGACTTGAAGACAAGCGGAATCTTGCATCTTGCATCTTGATTTATCTTGTCAGGTTTGGTGGAAAAAGTGACGTGAAAGCAATCAAAGCGACGTGAGAATCGCAAGCGAATGTGTCGTCCATGTCTACCGAATAGGAATTAGATTTTCCTCGGTAACAAACAGAAAGGTGCTGAAGAGTCACTCTTTGTGTCTTGAGTTGACCAATGCTGATGAAAGGATACATCGTTTCACAGTCCGTCTATCGAAGGCTGAATATCTCTTGGACAGAGAATTCATTCCCAAGTCTCCGCGCGGAATTGCTCCAATCTTGCTCCCGGACTACGCTACAAGATATGCAATACGGACTATAAAGTTAAAACAAGTAATATTACTATTTTATGCATAAAACATAAAAACTTGAATAGTTCTTTTTTCATATCGTCAACGAGAGCAGGAATTGTCAGCTTACCACGATTTTATTTTAGAGCTGATTCAGAATATAGTGCAAGGCAATTAGAGTTTAGAAATTGCAAGGATAGTAAAGTATACCATAATGAAGAGTATGCCATATGGACTGAGTCCAATGAACAGGACTGATTGAGATGCATGCATTACATAGAATCAAATGATCCTACCAATGAAGGTAAGTTTACGAACGAGTACGGTAACTTGCATGCTGTCAATGGATGAGAAAATACATCTTCTAATTCACGGAGTGGTTTGGGTTTTGGTTTATCTACGATAGATTGTGTGATTCACAGTCTAAATCCTAGTGCGATGTTCATGACGGTTCCCAAATCGAGGTTTACATCTCCATCTGGTCGGGAAACCATCCGTTTCCACGATTTGCAAGATTCTATTCCAAATCTGATACAATAGTTTCGGGTTTGCAATGATAATTATACCAAACGTGATGTGAAGTCGCTCGGCGATACAATCCTGAGATGTCAAGCAAAGAGTATTGTTTTCTAGACTTTTGGTATAAACAATTGGATCAACGATGAAACGATTGGATCTCGGGATCAAAATCATAGACTCGCTGCCAATCGCATCCACCTACCCAAACGCTCAGAGGTAAGATGTGGAGCCCTCCGTGAGCAAGAGCACTGGCAGTTCAATATTCTGACGATATACGGTGCTTTGGAACAAGATCTAGCTGCTTGTTACCGGGCATATGAAAGCCAATAGATATTGTTGAACGACGAGTCCATTGAATCTGTAGCCTATTAGCGACTTGTCGGTACAACTAAATTATATAAGATAACTCTATCTTCTTGAACATTGATACTTGGCATCCAAAGTATCTCATAACTGGCCTTATGATATATGGTAAAAATTTGATGCAAGCAGTCTGTGAGGTCACAAATTGGTTAACTTTCAATAATTGCTGCGCAGATTCTAAAACTTGTATTGTAGAGAAGTCAAATTTTTCTTTCAACAACAGAAGTTTGAAAGAATCAATATTCTCAACAACTAAAATGTCAACATTCCTATTTATAGTTTTCTTACAAACAGGAAGAAAAGATATGTGTACTATCCGTCATCTGCATAGTTTCAATCTGTAAACCAAGTCAATATGAAAATGAGTTGTAAAGTATTTGCAAATGCGTGGAATAGGGATATTTTCGGATACAATTCTTTTGTGTCTTCAAGTAATGATTGATGAGATAAATGAAACGAAATTGAAGAAAAGATATTATTAGGAGGAGAAATTTTGCGTCTACACTAGTAACTAGATTTAATACCATCTTCTTTTTGTTTGAAAGATATTATTTAACATTCAAATTACTGTCCAACTTGTATGACAAGATGGAAAAAGTTGCATATTCGCATTGTACTTTGTCATTATGTACAAAAAATTCGCATTCACCGCTCATACTAGATTCTCTCCTGCAAAGTTGATGAATTGGGGTTTTCTACTGATCATCAGGCCTCTTCAAATATGGCATTTGGGGGTGCTGTGCCATATTTGTCATAAATAATTTTTGCGTGATGCCATAAATAAGAATGTAAGTCCAAATCTACTTTAGCTCTTGTTCACTATTAAAACGTTTTTGTTCTCTCTTGTCCTTGATGATGTTGATGAAATGTCTTCAAAGAAATGCAAAACTTGACCATGGGTTGAAGATCTTCTTTATGGTTTTTTGTAGCTTTTGCCAAGTATGAGCGGTGGAAAAAAAAACTAACAGAACCTAAGGTCCGACTAGAACCATAAAATACTTTAAAGTTCCATATTGACCACACAACATCTTGAAAGTCAACATTTGGCAAATATGGAGTGAATATCATGCTCTGTAATTACGCGTCAAACAAATTTTCTTTGAATACTATCCTACTCACTTTGTTGCGTCCTATGATCAATTGTGTTTGGATTATAACGGAAACATAGTCAACACAATTCTACTACCTTTTATTTGATCTCAAAATTAAAAATATATTCATTGATAGAATGAGAAAAAGAAGATATACTCTGCAAAAAAAATGGATCAAATGCAAGATCCATGGAATTTGATGAAGCATGGATTACTTTTGAACTTAGATTTTCCAAACTATGTATGTGAAGGGTGATTTCTTCATGATTATTCAAGAGAAAGATGAGTATATATCTTACTTAATGATATTGTCACTCTAGTAACCATACATTATAAGCAATTCAAGCAAATTAAATTTAGTGTCATGTTTGTCATAAATAAAAATTGACTGATGCCATAATAGACTAAGTTATGACAAATCTGGCAAATACCAAGTTAGCAGACGCCTGCTGATCATCCATTGATAATAACTAAATTCACCAAGACAGGCCTGCTGATCATCCATTGATAATAACTAAATTCACCAAGACAGCGTATTGAGGTTTAAGATTAATTCCAGAAACTTGGTGATTTTTGTTGTTTTTTCTTAAGCGAGTTAAGAAGATGTTTAGATGAGGAATAAATCGAGAAGAATTCCTAAGTTTATGTACCTTTTGGCGAGTTTCTCCATCTATGTGAGAGCAATTACGTCACCCGAGGAAGCCACAATGTAACACCCACTTTCGAGTCGTCTTTGCATTCTGCTGCACAAAATGTGTGTTTAACCCGACTGTATTGTCATTTACAATTATTAGACAAACTTTACATGATAATACAGTCAGTGGAAGTACCACTCTCGTTACGAAACAATGTCTAAACGATTCTTTTGCCTTTCCAGGTGTGACATTCTCCATCATGGAACTACTTTCCGATTAAAAAACCCGAGGTAGGACTGTTTTTCAAAACCCTTCTACAGTCTGTAGACTGCATCAGAAAAATATCCATGAATAACCAAAAATTTTCACTCGGATGATCTCAAGGCCTTCGTCATGACTGCCTTGCCGTAACGTGCTGGTCAATTCCAAAATAGTATAGTACAAAATCTTCTAGAGTTTTAGTTTCATTTAACCAAAACATCTATCTTCGTTCCCCTCAGACTTGGTGGACCTTAACACCTGCTACGATCTTTAAGCCCTTCTAAGTCGAGGATTGACCTTCTCACTACTATATAAGACTGAATATCTCTAACGCGTCTATCAAGGTATACTCGCATAGCGAGAACAGGGAGCAACTAATCCATTCGTTAACTTGAAATTTTGGGGTGCGAAAGATCAGCACATCCAGTTTTAAAAATCAAAGTACTCTCTTTGAAGCCGCCAACAACTACGCCTCCATGTTCTAGGATAATGGTGAAGTGCTGGCATGAGCTTCAGCTGAAGAAGAACCTGACAAGTTCAGTAACATCAACTTCATCCACGACGAGATGACATTGGATTATTTCGCTACTCACATGTAAAGATTGTTGGCGGCTAGATGCTTCTTGCCAATCAAAATCTTAACTGCTTCTAAGAACTTAAAGTTTGAACCTTGTGGGATAAGCCTCAACACGTTGGTAAGTGTCGCAGCCAGCATTTGCGCCATGCGACTGTCCTCGGCTGGCCAAGTAACGAGTAAACGTCCTCTCAAACCACGAAGTTGACACTGTCAAATAATAGCAAAAACCAATCCTGTCAGGACAAGACAAATGCCAAATGTATCTGACAAGCTAACAAAATCGAAAACGATCCCGGAAGAGTTGTGGAGCCAGTAAACTAACGCGTCAAGCAAGATGATGAGATTTGATTGCAATAACTCAAAGCCAGAAATTAAGAAGGTGGTAATGGGATTGAACTTAGTCGAGGACACATACGTGAGTAAGAAGGGCTGCAGGTAGACCATCCACCAAGCTTCCGGAGGGATAATAAGGAGCTACAAGCTTAGTTTCCTCTGCTTCCTCCCTCTTTGAATATATTAAATCTGCCTTCTCCTCCCGCTGTGTACAAAAGTATTTCAAGCTTGATCAAAGAGAGAAATTTAAAACACCTCAGACACAACCTCATAAACTATTCGCACTTCCTTTCAAACAAAAGACAGTAAAATTAAGTAAAAATATAATAAGCTGGCCCCAGTGATAATCAACTTTATCACTGTTTGTTATTGTGAGGGGGAATATTACGTGCGTACTGATACCCAAACCACATTGCATTAGCCATACAGAAAAAGGAAAACAAATAAGAACCTTAAGAGCGTTCGATAAGAAATCAAATAGGAGTAACATAAAGAGGCCTGTTCTGAAAAAACAAATGGAAAGAACGTTCATTTCGGAGAAAGATTGTCTAGTCTAACAGCTATTGAGCTAACACGAAAATGATTATCCCAAAACTGCACAAGCAAGGCATATGTGACCTGAAAGTCTACCATATCCGGGAATAGATTGAATACCTTTTGTTGGTCTGTTTCTAATAGAAAGAACGACGGGTCATCGCTAGACAGTTTTCCTCTGAAGTGATGAATGGGTGTAAGAGCAACTATGAGCACTCTGATGCAACCAGAAGGTACACAGCCAGTCAGAATAGACATGTGAAACAGATATATTTGAACATTATTTTATTGAGAATAAGCGAACTCAGACAAAATGTATTGCTGGATTTGATGCGTCTCGCATACACAGTTGTACGTGCAAGACATGCTCTGATCCAGCAAATAACCAGGAGCATATGAAATATACAGCGCAACTTGACATTCATAATGCAAATGTAAGCCGGTGAATAATAGAATAGTGAACCAAGATAAAGAAAGTTATTGATTCCAACTCTAAAAAATTGAAAACACACTCGATATCTATGATAGGTTCTTCTAAAGTGATCCTGGTGTAGTACCTCTCGGGCTGAATGTTTTGGAAAAGAGTCTTGGTCCACATATTTGCTCCCTCTTCTGGAACGTGGTACTGGACAGAAACGATTACTACCGATGTGCAGGATTTGCAAGTGTAAATGCAAGCAGTTTTATCCAGAATACTTCGTTCGCCCTCTTTCTTCACCTGCCATTCAGAAGCTAATTAGCATTCAATACCCGGTACATACATTTTACTAAATACGAAACGAATACTCAAATTATGATCGATACTGATATCCAACAATGAAATTGTCGCAATTCCAAGTGGTAGAGCCCTAGCCCAAATTCAGAAGGTAGTTCTGCCTGTTCACAAAGGGATGTGAATAGCCATGTTATGCTGGCCATAACTTTCACCAAACTTCTCCCACCAGAGACTGAAGGTATTAAAAGACTGCAGATAGGAATCGCTTGGCACTAGACAGCAATTTCGGTGAGTACTTTTTTTCTGATCGCACTGTTAATAAGAAAACGGCTGTTTTAACTTGATGTCCACAGTTTAAACGTAACCTGGCCTTCTACACTGATGAAAACAACCGATCCTTAAATTTCGATACTAAAGAGACAGCTCGACGTACCGAAGAGTTTCCCGGCAGAAGAATTTTACCGAGCAGGTTCTTGTCAGGAAGATGATGTATAATGTTGGTTGCAACTGTAGACAGAGCCACGATAAGAAACTCGGGATGAAGTTTGCCAGACTTCAAGTGCGCTTCAGCTAACGGTTCCCACTGCCATCAGTATAACACGTATGCTCAGTCAGCGACTTGAATTCCCTGCCGATCACATACACCTGCGCAACTACTACTTCAGAACTCAAATCCCACAACTGTATATCTTCTCCACTCTATGTATTCTTCTTTTCCTTGCAGATGATCAAAGCTAAAGATTCCATCCCAATTTCATGGTAACTAGTTAGAATCCTCGGCGACCTTGACATTCTCCTCACACGACAATCTTCACTGCAGCTCAAAACTCTATTCTCTCTGTATAATGTTCTGATACGATTATGTACTGGCACGATACTGATGAACTGATGTACAAAAGCTTCATTGCACAAATTCCAAGACTCTAATTTCGTTCTAGTTCTAAGCCCTATAATCACCAGCAATGCCCCTCCCACCTCCGCAACGAAATCGATTCCAATTTTCAGCAGCAGATATTATCAAATTGCCCGCTGCAGTGCCAGCGGAACGCCGTGAACGAAGATGATCACGACACCACAACCTTCCGAAAGTCAGAAATTTACCTCGACACGAGGTGGCGTACGAGCAGCATCGGGAATCGGAGCAAGGAAGTCAAGCTCATCCGGATCGAATCGCGACGGAGGAGGGTCTTCGCACAGCGGATCGCGGATGCCAGCCATCGCTCACACCAGCGCCCTAAGCCCGAAACAGCGAAACGGCCCCGTAAATCCCTCCTTCACGCCCTCGATCCTCCCCTCCTCGACGATCGATTGCGACCTGCGACGATGACGACGACGACGAACAGGCGAGGCGGACGAACGATCAAACACCTCAACGACATGAAACACCACGACGACGACGACGACGGCGGAAGAGCAGACGAGCAGCAGAATGTCCTGAAGCACGAAATGCAAACCGACTAAACGCCAAAACCCCTCGGCCTCCTCCTCCTCCTCCTCTGCCACAGCGGCCATGCTTCCCTCCCCCCCCCCCCCCCCACTAGCCCCAGCCCCTCCCCCCACTCCTCCAAACTAGCGAGAGAGCGCCAACCCGCAACGGGCAGAAGCGAACGTTGGGCCCCCGGATAGAGAGATACTGCCTGCTCTAGGGTTTACTGTGTCGAGCAGGTTTGAAAGCGCAGGGGGGACGAGAGGCGGGAGGCGGGAAGCGGAAGGGGAAGCGGAAGCCGAGCGAGCCGAGGGAGCACGACGAAATCCTAGGGTTCTTCGGTAGCCTTGGTGCCCCCGCCCGGTGCCGGAGAGGACCGAGCAGTCGAGTGAGTCGGAATTATGGCGCCGAGGGATGAGCATGAGCAGGAGGGTCAGCAGTGGGCGAAGCTCGAGCCGCGCGGGTTCGCTTGCGCTGCTGGGTCGGAGGAGGTCGAAGGTCCAAGGCACTGCCCGACGCTTTGAGGAGTGTCGTCTGATGCTCGATGCCGGCGAAAGTGCGAGCATTTTGTTCCTTGCGTGCTCCTTCTTGGCCGTCATTGCCGTCGGAGGTGGTGGTGGCAGCAGCAGCAGCAGCAGCAGCGGATCGCACTTCTGGACCTCGAGGTGCTGGTGGTGCTCCCCACGGAGCTCTCTCGGGAGAATGAAGACCTGACGCAGGTAGTGTGGTCATTAGGGTAGGATAGGGTAGGGTAGGGTAGGGCAGTGCAGGTCGAAGCTCGGCATTTGGAAGCAGGGAGACGAGAGTCGGAGGTTTTGGCAGCAGGGCCCGCTCGAATAATTGTGTAGTCTTGAAGTGGATAGAGGAGAGGGGAAAGGGGTTGCCAGAAAATTAGGGTGGAAAGAATGGCACGTGCAGCTGGAACGAAGGGCGAAATGTAACGACGTTGGGGTGCGCGGAGGAATTTATTTTGTGGCTGAGCGAAAGATCGGTGAATGTGGAACTGATCGCGTGAAGCCATGGAGGTGACTGTGGCGAGCAGCGATGCTACCGTATGGACGGAGGTAGCAGTACCGGCAACAACTGGGTCCAGTGCGTTTTTGGGTGCACTGGCCGATTTTCCTTCGGAGGGCTTAGGGGGCATGGGTTTAAGACCTCCGACGACGCAGGCTTTGGGCACGAGCCCTTATCTTGTGTGGAGAATTAGCGAAGAATCTCCGAAAACTCTCGAGCTCATGGAGCTGTCGTGTGACAAGGCGGTGCGCAACACCGGTCTGCGACTCGCGTTTCAGTATCCGCTGTGCCCATTTGCCAGCGTGACTCTGTCTTCTGTCCGCAGCAGTCAGTGGTTCATCTACGAAGTCATAGCGATTACTGTCACCGGTGTTCTTTACACCATTTTTTTGAAAGTAGCCAGGTCTACTCACAGCAGGTTTGGGATGTCCAAACAGAGCGTGTCGGAGCGAGATTTGTCCTCTGAGCTCTCGAGCTTGCGCAAAGTCACGTGTTTTGCTGCCACTTCGGATATTCTCTGTATTGGAGGTCAGAGTGGCACCGTCATTTGTATACACATTGGCACCAAGGCGGAAGGTCGCGAAGATCAGGTGTTCGAGCTGAAGGATTTGGAAAGTGGGCTCAGTCGGTTGTGGGGAGGTCTGTCGTTCCGGGGCAAGAATGCGGCTGCTGTCAAGTGCCTGGCAATCCAGCAGGTTTCGGGAGCGAGTCTGCTTCTTGTTCTGCACGAAGATGGAGGCTTGAAAGTTTGGGACTTGGTGCAGCACAGTCGCCAGTTCCATCAAGTTGTTGCACCTCCAGAATTAACTACCTCAGTGCCTAAGAGGATTTGGGTTGAGGACACTTACGTTCTTGGTGAAGGCCTCAAAATTGCCCTGCTCTATGGCGGAAATTCGCTGGAGTCTGACAAGGCTGCAGCGGTTCTTGTTTGCACGCTGCATTTGGTCCACGCCGAGGGCGGCATAAGGTTGACACAGCTGACTTTGCAGAAAACGTTTTATGTGGGCCAAGGGACTGTTCTAGCCTGCAAGTTGCTCCAGGGTGCTGTGTGGGTTCTTCAGAAGAGCATCCAAGGCGAGTGCCAGTTGCTATCTGCGTCGTTGGAATCCACTTTACCATTGAGAAGTTGTCGCCTCCAGGAATCTCTAGTGGAAGAACAGCTATTGCAAGGGTCGAGTGATGCCTGTGACGACCTCCTCTTCTCTCTTAACCACATTGGTTTGGACTCCTCCGAAATGGTTAACGATTCGGTTCCTTCTCTGTTCCTGAGAAGGCTGTTGCAGCCTGGTGTTCGCCAGCATGCTGCCCTGAAGGACGTTCTGCAAATGCGGAGGAGACATCTGAGTGATATTGAGATCGGATCTCTAACTCTAGAGGGATTGCGGAAGGAGATAAAGGCTTCCATCAACGTTGAAACCTCCAACTGCAGGAGGTACCTGCAGGAGTGGATCCACTTCAGTAGCAATTACGTGGAATCTTGGAAACGTAACAATTCTCCTTACGGGTTGTTCACCGATGCTTCCACTGGATCGGTCGGTTTAATACGAAAGAATTCAGTTTCAGTAGTTCGGTCTTTGACTCACCTTGAGCAGCTGGTTAGTAAGCGAACCTTCTCTAATCCTGAAGATTCCACCCTTCTCTTACCTGACAACTGGGAGGAGATTCCTAGTGACCCCCTGGTGATAAGTAGCCTTCTGCGATGTATGGAAAGCCTAAGCAGACATTTGGGCAATGCGGCTCTTGGGGTGTTTCACGAAGCTTTAATGCGACCAGAAGTTTACCCACTGCAGAGCCTGATCCAAAGCGTCGTGCTTATACTCGACGTAGGATACAATCCGTTGGACACTGCTCAGGCGAACCTGGATTTTGGTGTTGATGAGATCCGGGCTAAGGTGCAATCTCTTAATCAGCAGCAAAGGAAATTCTCGCTGCATATGTCGCAGTCACTGCATCGCTTGCGAGGTTTGGCAGGTAGCTGGGAGGCAGTATTGGATGCCGTCTGCAAGTTTTCACAGTACCTGGTGTCTTCTGTTCAGTCGGCTGGCTCAGGGTCCAATTCTATTTCTGTTCCTTTGGGAAGCGTTCCCACCAAAATGCTCAGTCATGCAAGTTCTCAAATATCTTGGACTCAGTTTGAGGCAGCACGCAATCTCCTGCTGCTCCTCTCTTATCTCGTGAAGGTTCAAGGTCAGGTTGGGCTCACATCTCGCGATGTTACCCGAATCCAACTTGAAATTTTACCTCAGGTACAGGAAGGGTTGGCCGTTAGCTTTTTACTGCACTGGCTGACGGTGAGCTTTGCCGAAGTCCCTCCGTCAGAGGATTGCAGTTTGCAGCTCTCCTCTCTGCAGATTGATGGCACCCGAGGAGAGAAGGTTCAGCCGGAAAGGTTGGGTGCTGGCGAACTAGCTCTTGCGGAGATACTGGCGGCGGCCTTCTTGGAGACCACCCAGACGCAAGAGAACTTTAAAACGGATACGTTACCAGGTCCAGATGTGTTTCACAATCACGTACGGCGATTCGTAGGCTGGCTCCTGGCGGGTGAAAATTCAGATGCTTACCCTCGGACTTTCTCAGGCCGAGCCATTACTCTGTCATCCATTCTTCTCGAGCATGGCCAGTACAGTAATCTGGAGAACTTCCTGTACGCGGTAGAGCAGTTCTCTACGCAGCAACACCTTTCTGAAGGTGTGGCCAGTTTGAATGGTGAATGGAGTGCTCGACTACATCTACTAGGCATTTGCAGCTTGGCACGGGCTCAGTCTCTCCTCGAGAAGGATACTAAGGAGAAACATGTTGGAGACGCAATCCAGTGTTTCTTTAGAGCTGCTTCAGGTCTTGGAGAGGCCAACAAGGTGTTACAGTCCCTCTTTTTCGTAACTGGGGCACAGCAGCAGCTACCAGGCCGCGGAGCAACCGCAGCTTGGAGGCTGCAGTATTTTGAGTGGGTGATGCAGCTGTTTGATCAGTATAATCTTAGTGAGGGTGCCTGCCAGTTTGCTCATGCTGCTCTGGAGCAAGTCGACGAAGCAGTTGGCGTTTCTGTTATTGAGAACTCCGAGAGTAATTCGAATGCGGTGGGAGCTGCCATAAAGGGCAGGCTTTGGGCCAATGTCTTCAAGTTTTCTTTGGACCTGGAACTGTACAGCAATGCGTACTGCGCAATTATCTCCAATCCTGATGAGGAGAGTAAGGATATTTGCCTTCGTCGATTTATCATAGTGCTCTGTGACCAGAAAGCTACTAAAGCTCTGTGTAGCAACGAGCTGCCTTATGGTGGTCTCTTGAGTAGAGTGGAGGAGGAGCTTGTTTTGAAGGCTGAGAATTCGGATTTGAGTGTCAAAGCGAACCTGTACAAGCTTCTATACGCCCTTCATATTCATCACCACAACGTAGCCCGTGCTGCAGGATACATGTATCAGTACGCCCTGAGCATCAGGGAGCAGGGCGTCCCGAAATCTCGTGCACATGCACTTTCTCTATTCCAAGAGGAGCTCGATGCTCTTGCGGCTGCTATCAATGCCTTGCAGCTGGTTGAACCTTTCCATGGGATTGTGAGCAGTGGAATCGAATGGCTGTCACCCACGAAGCGAAGGCGGGTTTCAAATGACATTGTTGCGAAGAGCAGAGCAATTTTTTCAGGAGGCACTCAGTCTATTGGGAAGAAGTCTCTTGATTGTGACCAGCTTGTGAAGGAACACGCTTTTACTCTTGCTCGGGTGCAGCTCTTGCATGCAGACTTAAAGCACACCTCATTGGGAGCAGATATGCAGATTTCGGACGTGGTCCTATTACTTCTGCAACACGGATTGTATGAAATGGCTTTCTCCCTAGTCTTCCTCTTCTGGAAGGAATCATCCCAAAAGCGGGAACTGGAAAGGGTGTTTGAGATAATGGCGAGGAAATGCTGCACGCTTCAAATGCAGCTGGGATCTGCTGGGCCTCTTAAGTTCTCAGAGGAATTTCAGCTCGCCTTAACTTTGCCTTCAGATTCCTTCACAGAGGATACTGAACAACCTAATAATCTAAGTCTGGAAGTCAGATCTCATACGAAACTACCGTTGAATGCTGCTGCAAAGAGTGCATGGGAAGCGTTGAAGTCCTCTTTGGAGAAGTATGGCAACCACCACTCGAGTCTCAAAGCTGTTGTGGCGGAGACGATTCTCTCAGTAGACAAGGATATGGAACTTCCCCTTTGGTTGATCGATTCCTTCAAAGACGGGAAAGACTCGAGAGGCATGAGTGCGCCCAATCGGCTGTCAGACCCAGCAGCACTCCTTCGAATATATCTGGACTATGGAAGATATGTAGATGCGACTTACTTGCTGTTGGAGTACCTACAGGCCTCCACAAGGCTTAGGCCCAGTGATGTTTTCAAACGAAAACAACCCTGTGGAGTTTGGTTTCCCTACACACTGGTGGACCGTTTGATGCGCTGCCTATCTGAGATTCGCGCTTCAAGTCAAGCAGCAGATCAGTTAGAGAGACTTCGTAATTCTTTGCAGAATGCCGTACTGCATCATTTTGACAGGATTAGGAAGGACTCTGATGATCTCAGGGTTATCGCCGAAGGTGATACCGACGGATCGTGGAAAGGCTTTTCTACATAACGACCGTAAGAAACTGTTGGTGACAATTTTCACGAGTTTGGGAAGCCGTCACGATGTTTTAGCGTCGTGATCAACTGCAGCAAAGTACTTCAGAGCACCCAACTCCCTGCGAATGCGGCTACTCCCAGCACCTTACACCAGCATTGAGCCCGAAGAAATCTAGGTTTTGGAAGGGTCTGGATCATCTCAACTGGGACATCTGCTCAGCAAAAAAGGGTTTGAATTCTTGTGTGGCCTTGCTTCTGATGATGAGGTTTTGTATATCTGTAAAGTTAGATGAGCCATACTAAGTACGAGTTTAATTTTGGTTACAAATGGCTCATATTGTACGTTCAGCATTAGATTGCCATAGTGGCATAGAAACTGGATGATCACAAGATTTACATTTGCGCATGCTTGAACAGGAGGGTGGCAGTCAGCAAATCTTACTTCTGAGAAGCATCATCGGTTTACATGCGTGTAACTCATATCTGCCACGGCTTCTGGCCGAGCGAGCTGCTCCACCCTCACTTCTCCAGTCGCGAAGGTCAGCGGTTCCATTTTATGTATCAAAAAGACTGAAGGCACAAGAAGCGCGGGGACAGGAGCAGGAATTGAAATTTTACACAAGAAAGTCACTCTCAAGAATCATGTCATGCCCAAAAGTTTTGCAGTTTACCGCCTTGTACTATAGGTCAACAGCTGTAGATAGTTAGTGAGGGAAGGAGTAGGTTGGTGAGATGATTTGGTCACGAGAGTTTGGCTCTGTTCAGGAAAGAGCACTGACTAGACTGGAGTATCATGGTGAGCCGTGCAGATTGTTCAGAAGAATGTTGAACCCCGTCTTTCTGTATTGATCCTGGTCTCGGTTTCTGCAGTAGATGTGACTAGGTGATCTCATTACTGGCCATGAAGAGCTTGTGAAGGTCTGGTTCGACAGACTTGATTGTACAACCCACATGGGGAAATCATAGTAATATATGTACAATATCTGAATCAAGAAAACTAGTCCACGGTGTACCATTAATTAGAGGTCGTATAAATGGACGACAACTTTGCCATACTTTTCTCCTAGAAAATCTTGTCAAGCAGCCTTCACTCAATAAGGCTCCTTTTTCTGTACGTGGAGCAGCCAGAATTGTCTGTTGTCTACGAAGCTGCTCCGTCCGAGGGTCGTCCAAGCAAGGCGAGGATGTTATCTGAAGAAAACATTCAATCACTCCGACATTTTGCAATAGAGTCTACATTATGCCTGACCCTTAATTAGATGTAATCGGAAATGTGACATAACTCTGATGAACTCGGCACGCTGGTCTAACCGGTAGACCCAAGCACAATAACCTGTAACAGGAAGAAGACAATGGTAGAAACCCAGAATAGCAATGGGAATATTGTTCGCGACGGCTATGATTATTTTCTGGTAGTAGGATCTGCGAAGGTGTGTTATACTGCCGCGAGCTTCTATGATGCATGAGGTTGTGATGAGTGGTCTCTACAACGTTGGATTCTTAGCGGGAAACCACGAGCGGATCCAACGTACAATGAAGATGAGAACAAGTTTTGAGTCTGGAAAAACAACTGAAAGACTCGTCGTGGTACCGTGTTCCCGCAAATTAGTTGTTGGTTAACGATGACTTCCTCGTTTTGGCGGTCGTAGACATTCCAGCAGGCATTTCATAGTAATCTCTTCAACTTGTACCACGTGTAGTACAAGTCAGCCACGTTCTCACCGTCATTTTGTAAAATATAAACCATACGATTTTTAAAGCTTAAACCATTGTTTTATTTCCTTCAACATATCGTTGTATAGAACTGATGGCTTTCTTGGAATTAAGAGAACACCACCTTTCTATAACTTCAGTATCAACGTTATCATTGTCCAAGTCAGGAATCACGATCTCGAGTTATTACATGACAAAAAATATTATATAATAGAAATTATCCAAAAGAACACATGTTTTTTTATCAGAAAAATCTCATAAAGTCATATTGAACTTATAATTCAATAAATGAATGTATACCAATTCAAAGCTAAGTTCTAACAAGTTTTGTATTCTGCTTTGGTTTAAAATTTATTATGAATGTGGTGATGAAAGTAGCTGCTCTAAATTTTTTTAACGTGGGTACGAGTGGATCCCACTGGACCTGGACTTTCCCTCGAGATTAGATAGAAAACTAGTTCAGGGAATATCACCGTGGTCCATATTCTCCACTTACAAGTATACAAGCAATACAAGCATGAAATTTGCACATTGTGTACTACAGTGATTTGGCCTGACGTTCAGGCCTTACCTGAGACCCTCCTCAACGAGCATGAATTTCACCTACCAAATATAGAAAAAAACAAGTCCAGAGATTAGATTGTCTGATCAAATCAATCAATGAGGATGAAGGAACTTGACAAAATATGGTCATGTAGCTACTGAAGGCATACTGAATAAAATGTGTTGTTCGTTGCCACTGTGTAGCATCGGTGATGAGCAAGTTGAGGTGCAGGCCAGTTCTGCTTCGAAGCTAACTAGTCCAGTGTAGACAGTGGGACTCAGTGGGAAAGACCTGTGTTCGTTGTTCATCATGCATGCATCTGATCCATTTCCTCTCGTGCATCAGAACGTCTTGACATGTAGATCTAGGAACGTCTAGCTAAAATTCCAAGAAAGTATAAGATTCTGACACAGTGCCCTTTACATCATAAGGTCATAGTACGTTGTATTAATGACCCTCCATGATCAATTCAGCTGCGAGTCAACCGCTGTCTCGAATCATGCATGGACTACAGTGACGTAAAAAGAGGGACTTCTATTACCCGTGTTATTTACTTACTGACATTTCCTTCTTAATAGGTCACTAGCAAATCATTCATATTTGATTCTAAACTGCTGGCGTGACCTTGCTTTAACAGAAATTTCCAAGTCATATTCCGAGTCACCAAGAGACCGGGAGAGTTTCCAATATATATATATATATATCATCTATCTATCTGATGTTCCAGCGAGCTCTCGTTTAGTTCAATATGTCACAAACATGTTTCTTTCATTATTGTGTTCTGAAAAAAATTCCAATGAAATTACTAAACCTTCTGAGAGCTTTCTGTTGAGCTCATCCAGGACTCAATTGGACCACACTCACACATTCTAAAAAGGAATTCCAACTCGCAGCTGAAACCTGTGACATGTGCCTGTCAAAAAAATCCAGAAGAGTTCACTTTGTATCTTATTCAAGAGATACCAATCCGGCGTGCATAGGGTCGGATTGATCACTCCCTTGGGATCCATATAATTTCATGTGATTAGATACCCCAGTAGCCAAGGCGTAGCTAATGGAATTAAGTATCTGTTATCTGGACAGGCTCCATCCAACACGAGTACAAATACTCACTGACAGGGAGAGACCGCCATTAGCAGTCGTCTACTCCTGCCCAGCCATCATCGCCCATCTTAATATAACTACCAACGTGGTGGGCTAGAAGTGTTTCTTCTTTACTTAGTCTCGTAGGCAGTGTTGAAATATATCAGTTTTGTGGGAAAAAAAAAATTACCCTTAGAATTGTACTCTTGGATACACCATTGTCTAGCTCGTAGGTAGAGGTGGTAACCTTGAATGTTGGCGGTGTCCATATAAATTATCGTAGGTTTGTACTGATCGAAATCATCTTTCAATTAGCTAGGAATCAGTGGTAGAAATTTGGAGTGTTGTGAGCGGTAGAAAAACTCTTCGTACGTCGTTTACGTGTTCAATCCATACTCTATATTCGTAAATCTTTCGATCAATTGTCGGACATAATGTCGAACGTGATTAGATCACCAGAGCACAGCAGCAGAGCTACCGGACTCACTTTCATAGGTTTTTTACTCTTCGCTAGCATCACAGTGGCACCTGCTCAAGTGCGAGGTACGTACTGGACTCAGTCCGCCCTGAGCTTGAATGTTGATCTCCGTTTGCACCCCCACCTGAGAGTCAAACAATTTATTTCTTTAATGAGATCCCGGTGCATTTGATCGCTACGATCTTTTTGTCGTCGTTGTTAGTTCTGAATTTCCCTTCGTTCCGAAATTGAAGAGAATGAATTTTTAGACTTCATATCCAAACGTTTAGACATGGCAAAACGCAGTCAAGTATAATGCTAAATGTCTGACATAACCATGAACTTTTATTTGATACTTTTGACAGCTTTGGAGTATAGTGGACCTAATGGACCACAATCATGGGGAGGTCTTTGTAACATCGGCAGGAGCCAAACTCCGATAGATATCGTAAGCTCTGAGGCAGTAGTCGACCGGAGCCTGTCTGTACTGAAGGTGGATTACAGTTCTAGAACACGGGCAACAATTACCAACTCTGCTGTAAACCTTGAACTGGAGGTAAGCCAGACTTTTCTATGTTCTTCCCAATGTCACCTCTTAGTCAGGAGTAATAACTAGCACGGACATACGAGACCAGTATTCTACTCGTACATGCATTTGAGAAGCATTATGCGTTTTCCTACACGACGCTGATTATTGTCTCTATGGTTTCATAAACAGGTGGACGGTGAGATGCCTTTCGGAAAGCTGTATCTTGATGACACTTACAATCTGATCGGGTTTCACTTTCATGCTCCAAGCGAGCATGAAATCAATGGCCAGAGGTATTTATTATCAGAACGGTTGTGCGTCATGCAACTCGGCTTTGCATCAAAGCAATCTTACGTACATTCGCAGATCTAATGCGCTTCTCAGCTTCCTGGTCGATCTATTACACATCATACTGATTGACCGTGTTTGCACTTTGTGCAGTTATGACTTGGAATTACATCTTGTGCATCAAATCGACTCGTCTAATTCTACTGACCTAGCTGTCATCGGTCTCCTTTACAATCAAGGCCATGACGACTCATCCACTGATCTTTTTCTTCAACAGGTATTTCATCGAGCTGTTTTCATCACTTAGATCAAGGCTAGACCCCTGTCAGCGTGGCCTGCAAGGACGAAAGTCAAACTGTTTAGCGAGTAGACGTCAAACTAACACAATTGACCGACTACAATGTTGTGATCTCCTGGTTTGAAGATCGGTAGTAACTCTGTAACTGAATATTCAACTCGTGCGGTTAGAAGCAGTGTTACAGAAATGGGAAAGATGAGTCCATCCCGCATCTAGCTGAAATCCTTGTTTGCCAAAATGATGTAATAATCATCCGTAATTGACGTCGCATTTCTATTATTTCTCAGAACTTTCCATCGAGTCAAACCAATTTGAAACTGGATGTGATGTACTTCTCAGATGATTTTGGCCTGAGCAATAGAAGTTAGATCCACGTCCCCTCGAAGCTTTTACAGACATGGCTATATTAGAAATACTAGAATATATGTGTTTGCTTGTAGTACATGCGAAATTTAGCTGCCACTTAATCATATCTTACCTTTGTTCCAGGTCTTTGATGCACTGCCAAGTGTACTTGTCCCGAATACTACCAGATACATGGACACAAATTTGGACTTCTGTCCACTGTATCCAATGCTGGCTGGATCATATGCTCGTTATGCAGGATCTTTGACGACGCCACCTTGTTCAGAGAATGTTATATGGACAGTCATGCTAAACGAGGTAAGCGTTTGTCTTTTATCGATAGCTCACCACCCCCCTACTTAAAACCTGAAAGCAGTGATCTGGTCAATAATGTTGAAGCAGAATTATGGTTCAGTATGAGGAGTTTTCTTTTAGATGATTCTTGCTCAACTGTTTATTTCACTCATGCATATTATTCAGATCTTACAAATTCGAGAATTCTCATTTTATTGCCTTCATAATCTGTAATACGCACGTAACCTTCGAAAATAAACTCTACCAGGTCAACTGATAGTTGTTGATTGTTGTGATTTTCAGAATCTGCGGGTGTCACCGAGGCAGTTCGAGGCATACAAGAGTGTTTTTGAGGTCTGTTCTGAGAGTTCCATAGAGTGATCTAACCACTGAATCATCGTCTTCTTCTTCTTCACATCTTCGTCCATTATGTTGTCTGGAAATCAGCTGATTGACTATATTGCTTGTTGTGTATGCGAGCTTGAAATTTGCACAGGCGGAAACTTGTATGCTATCCATGAACACTCTACTAAATCAGATCCGCACGGTGACTGGTGGTTCTGTTCTTTCTTAATTCTACAGGCACCAAACAGTAGGCCACTTCAAAATTTATCGGGAAGAACCGTGACATTTTTCTAAAAGTCAAGGGCGCAGGACAATAACTGACATGAGGCGTTTCACTCGACTTCAACTTTCTCCCAAAATCCTTCAAAATCTACATAAGAGTAAACTTTCAGTGGAGACAACTGGAAATGAAGCATTTTGCATTAGGCTATTTATTTATTGACTTACTTATGTAATATAGATATTAGATAGAAAGGTCGACATCAACTGAATCAAACTCATCCAAGAAACAGACTTAGTTCGGCAGCATTCATCTGGTTGAAATTTCATTGATTCTAGAGTTTCTTACTAGAGGAGAAAGCTCCAGTATGACATTGCATCATGAAATATGGCACTCTTTCAGTAGCATACAATTTATAGGAAAGAAAACACTACAAATGCAAAAGCCCTTTCATAGATTAATTAATCACAGTATCATGGTAGTGGGCATTGTTCTGCCCACGTGGATCATTCTTTCCATGAATTTGCAGTGTGCTTGTCACAGGAGACCACTGCATCTGTATCGTAGAAGAATCCGACGTCCAAATCCTTTTGAAATACATACAGCAGATACTGAAGATTCTCCCTCAAAGTGTATATACTGCATTGAGATCCTGATCACGATCACTGCTCCCTCAGTGGCATCGTAGGCAAACAATCGGTCTGAATGTCCATCTTGAAGACTTCGTGCAATTGCAAGTCGGTGCTCCTCATTTGGTCAAATCCAGTCGAAGCCTTTAACTCCAAGGCTGAAGGATAATTACGTTCAATACTCTTGATGAATACCGAAACTTGTCTGTATGTTACCTTCAGCGATTTCAGTCCAGCTATTGACGCCTGATGGACTCATATTTTTCTATCTATCACAATTACCCCGAGTCGAAGGCTCAAAATCGTCTGCCATAACAGTTTGACTGGAATTCACACACACAAGTTAGAAAATGGGCCTACGGATCGAAGCATGAGTGCATATCAGATGATCGTCATTTGTGGTCTTACGTCGCATGTGACAGTTAATAACAGATCTACTAGAAGGGTTGACACGGGGCTAGGCCCCAATTGGTATTCTTGCCTAGCTGCATGTTACCAATTGGAAATAGATTGTAACTGAGTAGTCTGACAACTCGTAATCATCACACATATATTACACGAGTCAATAATTTTCCTTGGCAATAGATATATGGTAACCAAGGTAGACTATAAAATATATTTCGTAAAAATAAGTACAGTACCACTATCATTTAGTATGTATTTAGCATTTATGTGCCAATATTGAACATTAGAATCAACATTTATATTTTAGTATATTTCCAGTGTTAAATGTACGTGGAGTATGTAGTTTTGATTGTGCTATAGATCCACAAGTTCGGCAACACCTAGATAAATATGTTGCGCCTTGATATTTGTGTGTTCTCTAAGTCTTTGGAGAGTTAATAGCCATTTTGGCAGATTTAACTGCATCGGAGCAAGTTCGAGAACAGCTGACATGTGAAAATTTTTTTACTTGATAGTTTGGTACATTTAAAAAATATATCAGTGGAATCAGTTTCGATCAGCAATCTATAATATTTAGTTCGTTAATGGACCAAAAGGTAATGTAATAAATTTTAATCCATATATGAGATCTAGAACAAAATTTTAACTGATAAATTTTTTATCAACAAACAATCCATGCCTCAAAAATCGGTTCTCCCAGTATTAACTTCCCGCATTTTGATTTCATTACAAGCAAACATATCACATCTAAATTCAGCATCCTTCACAAAAGATCAGCTTCAATCGTTTCAAATATATTCTTAAACAATATCTGAAGTCGTTGGACCTAAATTCTTCACTTGGAAAAATATGATTTCGTCTAATAATAAGTTTGATGCGATGTCATGAAATAGATACAGAAAAATTACATGCATACATTCTTGTTCGACACATACGTCGTAAGAACTGACATGCCATGGCGTAGTAGGAAAAGAAGGACTTTACATTTTGGGGATTGAGCGATGGCGTGTTGAATCCCTGGCAGGCAGACTCCACAACCGATGGGAGTGTGGACGAACTACTTCAGCAGGTTTGCCTTGTTTGCTACGAGCTGGAGAGTTGGACAGTCAGCTCAACTGCCGTGTCGTGTTTCTGCAAGAAAAAGCCATAAATCTGGAGCATAAAACTGCACAGAATGAATTCACCGCCGGACGACATGATCCATCGACTGACTCGCTCCTTGTCTTGTTCAGATCCGAAGGACACGGCTTCCAATCAGAGCACATCGCACTTACTGAAGCCACTAGCACCTCACCACCGCCGCCGCCACAGTCGTACCAGGGAATAATGACAATCCGACTCAATGAAAATATTATTCACCAGATCGGTTCCGGATCTATCATATGGTGCACTGATTGCTCTGTGCACCATATGGCCTCGTGGATTAGTTAGATCTACAGGCTGACCATCCAACTCGTTGAGATCTGTTAATTTGGTGTAGGTTGCGTAGTGTGCTTGAGCTTGATTTGTATCAGATTCTACTGGGTACATGAAGAGGCTTCTGAGAGAGGAGGAGGATGTTCTGCAACCTGGGCTTCATGTAGCTCGAGTCATGTTCCGCAAGCTTCTTCAATGTATGAGCGACAGCAGACGGTGAGACCGCAGAGTGCCCACTTGCCATGGCTGAGGGTGAGGGTGGACCGGTCTTCATGCATATACGAACTTGTGGAGGCGAGTATCATTGAGAATGATGGACAACCGCATAAAATCATATGTGTGAATAGAGTTGAATGGTTCTAAGATTCCTGCAGTGTAGGCATCTGTCACAGTAATACTCGTGAGCACATTGATGTGCTAATTTTCCGTAGGCTTGACTCGCCAGGTCGCCCTCATGGCGACTTCCAAGCTGCAGCGAAGCCATTCGTCTGATGCGCAGGTCGCCCTGGCCCCTGCTGGCCTTGGATCAAAATCCGATCCAGCCCGAGTGACGAGATTGCACGACTCACTCTTGCTTTTCCATACGATCCATAATTTTGGCTCGATCAGTCACTGGATGTAGTTTGGTGTGAAAACACAATCGATGCTCGAGAGGCGGCTAGATTCCGAGTCCAAATGAAGCACTCCTTTTGCAAGCCCAATCGGGCACTACCAACCATGACAAAAGCCCTGTATGTTTCTCATGATCACTGTCACCGGTTCTCTCATCGGATTGTCAAACTGGCAGCTTGCACCTTCACCGTCACCCGTGTGAATGTGCGAGCTGAAGTCAACTTCACTTGAATCGTGGCCTCGATTCAAGTTGAAGTCCTCGGTCCATTTCATCACACTGAGCCCTCTCTCACATTGCCAGCTTCTATGCCAGTCCATCATTCTCGTAGGAAATCGAAAACGTCAGGTCTCTGTGCACCGAAAGAACTGGGATCACCTGCATCGTCTGAATCTGTCTGTCAGATGACATTGCTCAATCTTGGGAAGGGAAGCAAGGATCTTGTAACTTTGGAACGGAGCCTGGAGCCTGAACGTGTACCCTGAGCATGATACTCTCATTCTCATGGAGAAAGGTCAACCACATTGGATCGATAGAAGAGCTGAGCGGCCGACCGATCGAGGGTCTCGTCGTACATCCCACGGCCACCTTCGAGCTCTCAGTAAGTGACAGTGTGAGACTTTATTCACGGGCTGACTGAAAAGGATCTGACTCCTAAATGTGCCTACAAAATGGCACCAGCCTCACCTGAAGCTGGACATTCCAGTCAGATCATGTCCATTGCAAGGGAAACTCGACCTCGAGCCGAGCGCTCATTTTGGCGATGAATGAAGAGCTGACTTGTGGATTTTAAGAAAATCTTATCTTTGTCTGATCCAAAATAAAATTATTATATATATTTGTATATCAGGTACATAGTAACGTTCTGCAACTTTTGTAATTCTCCATCTTCATATTGATTCATCAGTTTAAAAAGTTGAATAGCTAATCTTTGAAGGTTTGTGAGACAACTATGTTAAATCAATTTTTATTCAAAAAATTATTATAAAATTGATTCTTGAAAATTTTCACTTTTATAAAAACTTTTCAATAGATGAGATTTATAGTTTACATTATTATTGTAATTGACTTTAATTTGATTCAGAAGATTAACTCTACATTTCGCATGTATTATCATTGAATTACATCACACACCAATGCAAATCAATGGTTCTTCACGCAATTTGTTAATCTCTAATTCTAGAACATAGTGGAGAACTTACATGCATACAACATTATTGTGTTAGACTTTCACTGCAGTTTTGCGATTTCACAAATCTGAGATACTACTTTTTCTTATTCAGACATTCTTCTCTTCATATCTAGCCTTCATCAACTATCAATGTTTGAGAAGTTGAACTTCCTCTGATTGTATCTGGTCGTAGTGAACTTTTCACATATCAGCAATCTGAAAATTGTCTTCACTTGGGTTCATTCATAATTTCGTGTCACACCAACTATGTTGTGCTCTTTACGATGCTGTCTTATGCCACCAGCCCGTGCATCATCAATAGACTTATAAGGGATTATCGACCGTCTCAAGTACATGAAGGCTCAACTCAAGGTTTTACTTTCTGTGATCATTCGCTTACTTCATTCTCGTTGGTTGTCACTATTACTACCACATATTCAGTCTTTGCATATTCAGAATATCACACAGCTTGTCATCGGTAAGAGACTCACTAGTGTCAAACTCTAAACCTACAATACTTAGATTATGGATTCTAGTCTTTGTACATACGACCTCATTCAGTAGATTTATAAAATCCAGGATGCTTTCCTGAAGGCCAGTTTGATTTGCATACTGAGTGTACATTTCGTGTAACTATTTCGTTTGACAAATACTCAGAGAGTGCTAAGTGGTAATGCCAGATCAATCTGTGATAAACAGAGAGAGCCTGTAACACAGAAGAAGGTGAAACGAGCACCACATTACCATGTCGGAACATTCTTATGGATATTAGAACAGGCTCTTATTAGAGACTCTTCGCCATGACTTCCTTGGGCAGCGCGCCTTTTAAACTGAAGGATCTTTTGGGAAAAATAAGATAAGTGCACACAAATATAGAGAATGGTTGTGATCCATCCATCAGCACACAGGCAGATAGCTGTATGTGGATAGACAAAAACACGTAGTTTTAGTTTCAATAGCGACCCCATGAAGACAATGCTTTCAGGCCGAAAGTTGACTGGCAAGAGCACTCTCACCAGTTTGAAGTCCTCATTGAGATGTTCGAGAACTCGATCGTGGCTGAACTGAGCTCAGAACTCAGAAGTAAAAATTATACTCAAAAGTTGAGCTCAGAACTCAAAAGTTATCATTACAAAGTCTTATGAATGTAAACAGTCATCAAATTGCTTTCTTAACCTCCCGAATTTGAAAGATCACAGATATGTTCGGAAATGTACAGTTTGATTGTGGAGAGCAAAATCTGCTAGCTCTGGACTCCACACCAATGTTATAAAAGTTCCCATCACACCAGTGTCAGGAAGAACGCAACAATCCACACGATTATCATTTGATCCCTGTTTAAGGAGACCAGGTGCCAGTGCTAACCGACCGAAACCCAGTCTAGACCTGTTTATAAATAATCGTACAATAAGTGGGATCTAAACATGGTCCGATCCTCACACCTAAGTTGAAAATACTAATTTTTTCCCATTTCTCATGGTGTAAACTACTATCAAAATTGAAAATATACATAGGTTTGGCAAAAGGTGCTCTTGCTAAAATTGCCTCGGTGAAGAAAGCATCAAACCTCATCTTCGTGCAACAGCATGTTGGGCACGCCTTTCGTAACGGGAAATCTGCGCCCGGTTTCAGGGCAAATTAAAGCGCCTTCCTCCAGATGTACCTGAAATTCAGAAAAGCTCATTTAAGCAGCAGTTACAAGAAAAAATAAAATTGTGGAATATTAAACAGAAAAGGCACTCTCGGCAAAACGCTAATGGCCTCTTTGAAGAGCAGACACCTCTCGGTATAATGATTTTACACCCGATGATACCAAGATGATGATCAGTGACTAAGCGTCAATCCCATGTAATTGAGGCGAATGTACCTCGAGCAAAGCGTGATGAAACTTTTGTAGAAATTCATGGTCTTCGAGCATGGTAGGGTCGACTTGCTCCGGAATGTCATTCAACCCAATCTGCAAGAAAAGATAATGCAGTCACCCGAAGTTTAAAACAGAGACGATCCACTAATTTTCCCAAGTCTAATTCCCTAAGGAAGTGCACCAATTCGAAACTCCATGCACGCAATCAACACAGCAGACAGTCAGAATTTCACTCACGCTCACTGCGGCATCGTGAAAAGCCTTCCACTCAAGCTTAGGGAAAATATTTCTCAAGAAATCAGGGTTGAAATCGGCATCCTTCGTGTCGAGTCTTTGGACTTCAATGCTCAGCGGAAAGCCTTTCGTCACCCCCTTGATGTTGCATGAGAGCATGTTGTGCGTGAGGAGGCGCATGGTTCCCGGCTTCAAATCGACGAATCAGTGACTCCAAATCGCGCAATGCAATTCGAACCTTGCTGACTATCGCTCGATTGCAACAAACCGGAGCAGCGAGGTTCAGAAAAACCGCCCGTCTTGGCATTCTCCCTCGTCGTTCCGTGCTGTTCATGTCTAAACCCTAAACCCCGAGCACCATCGCGCCGGATCCCGAGTCACGCCTCAGTCAGCTGCAGTCGTGAAACATGCCTTCCCACGTCCCCGGCATCGTGCGACTCTTCCCATCGACGCGAGACGTTTTGGCGCTGTGATCCTGACTCCGTGTCGTTCTGTGACGTCGCAGCGAGGAGTTGCAAACACGTCGCGTCTTGTAAGTGATTCCTTTCGTCGTAGGAGTCGAGCCTGAGTTGGATGCCAGCTGGTCGCGATGGGGCTGAGTGGATATATGGACATTAATGGTATGGTTACTTTAATTTCCAAGTTCAAAGTTCAAGTCCGAGTCAAAGTACAAGTCTGTGTACCTGTAGGAGGTGCTTACCTCCTACGGGTACACCAGACTTGTAACGGTCTTGTCGTGATATGGTTCCGGAGAAGCAATATTGTCGCATATAGTGTTAGAAAAAATAGAGATACAGTAGTTGCACATTTTTTTGTCATGATATGCAACTCTTTGTGATGTACAAGTGTGAATCTATCACGACCACTTGAACGTTCTCCGCTATGAATAGCTGAACAATCCAAGGGAAGAGTATAGCTATCAATGACATAAATAAGGTATAAATCATTTGCTACTGAGGCAGAAAATGGTACGTTAGGATTAAAACATGGAAGTTGTTTTTTTCTAAACGACCAGGGTATTGTTTCAGATGTAATGAGGCAAAATTTCATTCAGATGATTGCAAATCCTTGTTTAGTGGCCATGGAAAGAGATCAATCAGTCAAAGTGAACCTTACCGACATATCAATGATTTTATGTTTCTCTAACTCAAAAGCTATATAGAGCTATAGATACCAACATTGACATGTTTGTGACAAATACACTTTTAGACATGATTGTAACTCTCTTTGACTAAATGTAGAGTATAATGTATGCAACATGTATCGTCCTATTAGAACTGCTGACCGGTTTAATGTTTGGTTGGCTGTAGGGGTCAACATTTTACTTCAAACTTGTAACTAGCCATACCACAACCATCAGCAGCGAACTATGCTGACCCACAGCATTATCTATGTCCATCCATGCTATTCAAAGTACGCCTATGTATTCAAAAATTGTGTAAAGTTTATTACCCATCCACATTGAACAAAATGCTTTAGTGTCGGAGAATTCCATTGACAATTTAACGCATTGTTCAATTTTGAAAACCTTAAATAGATCTTCACGTGAAGTCTACAACAATCCTACTTTCAGCTAAAATTAATTTACACATTCATCGTTCAAAGTTGTTCACACGCTGATGATACTTTAAGTGTTTGTTGGAATAAAGAGAGTTTTTTTTTAAGTCAAGAGCAGATACTCATGTAGCTTGATTTGACATTCATATCATGGTTTCTCTTGTACTATTACAACTCTCATTGTGTCGTGTGTCATTAGTTATAGCTCAAACCATCTTGTTTCCACACTCTCCACATCCGACGGACACGACACACAAGATGGTTTGAGCTATAACTTACTGATGTGTACAGATCTCAAGCAATATTGATGGGCATGGATTCGACCCATTTAAAAGCTATGCTCATCCAAACCCAACAAGAAATAATAACCACTCATGGAAAATTAATGTCATCCAAAATTTATGGTCATGGGTGGATGTGCACATGGGCATGAATATGGGCACCCAATGTTGGGCTCTGGTTGGCTATGATTACTGAGAGGTGTTATGATATAACTCAAGATCACAGTGACCAAGCCAACAACACGAGATAGAAACGTATAATGGTGTTCATACTCAAGGGCTACGTCCATGGAAGAATGCACGCAAGATACTTTACTACTCATGTGAAAAACACAATAATACTTGTAATACATAAGCATCATGGTATACATATACCCAACATAGTCTACCAATTTCAGCTATAAATAGCTACACATGAGGTTACTTCTTAACCAGAGTTAACCTCAACAAACTCCCCATTGACTCGTGTTCAGGAATCTCAGTAACCTCTCTAACCTATATTATTACTCCGTGGAAAGGTCTAGACGAAAACCTAACACAAGGCTACTCTTTAACGAGAGTTAACTAGAACTAAGTCGTAGCCATAATATGATAGAGTAATAATATACATAGTTAACTCAACAATCACCCTTTAGCTCGTGTTAAAGAATCTGAATAAACTCTCTAACCAATATTATTACTCTCATAACATGATAGAGTAATAATATACAGAGGTAACTCAACAATTTTACCCTTCACTTGTGTTAATGAATCTCATTAATATCTCTAACTTATATTATGTCTCTCATAACTGGATAGAGATATAACATATAGAGGTAACTGAACAATCTTTTCCTTAACACATGTTAAGTAATCTATGTAAACTCTCTAATCTATATTATTATTCCGAGGGAAGTTCTAGACTGAAACCTAACACAAGTTTCTTCTTTAAACGAGGAGTTAATTAGAACTGAACTATAGCCATAACATGATAAAGTAGTAAATAGAGCTAACTAAATACCATATCTCTCGTGCTCCCTATGCACAACTTGCATAGTAGCACAGTGTTGCTTGAAACTCTCCAAAAGAATAACTTTTGTCAACTTATCGCCTGGATTGAGTTTACTGTAGATCTTGACTAGTTCAATTGTGTTCCCATATACTACTTGTCTAATAAAATGATATCTAATGTCGATGTGTTTTACTCTGCTATCATTAACTTGGTTTACAGCCAAATATAAAGCACTTTGGCTATCACAATGAAGATTGAGCACGTCCTATGTCAATCTCATCTCCATGATAAACCTATCCAACCAAATAGCTTCCTTTGTCGCTTTTGCTACTACCACATATTCAGCTTGCGTTGTTGACTGAGCTGCGCACTCTCCAAAATAGATCTCCAACTAATGCTTCCACCGCCAAGTGTAAACACATATCCAGTTGTAGATCTCTCTCTGTCTAAATCTTGTACATAGTTAGTATCAACGTAGTCAAACAAGAACTTGTCATTGAAAAATAACCCATCAAACAATAAGCCATATTCCATAGTATTTTTCAAATATTTCATAATTCATTTTACTGCTTCCCTTCCCTTCCTAGCAATATTAGGCCTAGTGCACACCATTCAATACATGAGGCTGGTTATAGCTTGTTAATAGAAAACACATGACATTCTTCCTTTCTCCACAATATATGTAGGAAATTAAACTGTGGAGAGTTTAAAATGTGCTGGCGAAGGAGTTCATACTCCTTTCATCGGCCATGTTGAACCTTTGAAGTATACGGCAAACATACTTCCAATAACTCAACCATAGCTTAATTCGTTCAAAATTTCTATAAATGACAATGTCTAATCTGCTCTTCGACTTCCACATATCATTCATCTTAAATGCAAACTTCAGTTGACTCTTGCATTCATCGACATCGGATTGGTTTTTTGCCAAGATGAACATGTCGTTAACGTAAATTACTAAAATGATGAGAATGAATGTTTCATCATTCAACTTCTTTAAGTAGAGACAAGGATCATACATGCTTCGTAGAAAACCTTGTGTCTTCATAAACTCATCAAATCGCGTATTCCATGCCTAGGAGCTTTCTTCAGTCCATAAAGTGATTTCAGCAATCTACAAACCAACCTCTCCTGGCCTTTGATCTCAAAGCCAACCAGTTGTCTCATGTAAATCTCCTACTCTAAATATCCATAAAGAAAGGTTGTAATCAAATCTATTTGGTACATAACAAGACTGAATATTACGGCCACTGCACATATTAAACGAATTGTAGCATACTTTGCTACATGCGAAAAAACTTTGTTGTAATCCACGCACTTCTCTTGTGTGAAACCTCTAGCCATCAAGCTAACTTTGAAGATTCTCGCCTCATCCCCTACAGGATTATCTTTCAGCTTGTACATCCATTTGAAATCAATCAATGTCTGATCTTTATGAAACTCAACCAACTCCCAAGTCTTGTTGTCAATCAGTGACTGCATCTCCTACTCCATAGCAGCATTTCACTCAAGCTTGTTGACCGAAGCTTGAGCTTTCCTGTATGAAGAAGAAGGTTCAACTTCTTTCAAGATCAATGCCATATCATCCTCATCCTCAAAATCAAGGTCACGATCTTTGAGAATTGATGAGTTGGTCCATACACCAAACTTCGCAGGAGCTCTAGTAGGATGTTGTGATCTCCTAGTAGACGTTTCCGTTTGAACTCTATCGTCTAATAATGTTGCAATAAGCTCAGCAACGATAACATGTTCATGTAGTTCTCGTTCCTCAAAAATTTGCTCCACATGCATTGATATTCTTTCTTGTGACAAGTCATTAGTGATAGAAAGATCAAACTACCCCTCAACAACATCCGTGACTAAAGATTTTCCCTTGTCAGTACGGGGAGACTCAAAACTCTACTCCTCTTTCAATAAGACATGCTAATTGAAAGAAACATTCATACTAACAACCACCTTAGGTGCAATTGGATACCATGGGCTGTAACATTTCACTCCATTAGCATATCCAAGAAAATGACATTTCTTGAATGTAGAATCAAATTTGGTCTTTTGTTCCTTAGGTGTGAGAGCATAAGTATTACAACCAAAAATTCTCAAGCAATTATAATCCGCCATCCGTTTATATCTCACGTCAAACGGTGTTGAAAAATTGATTGTAATAGAAGTGAAAAATTTTACCAAATAAATTGCGATGTTGACAACTTCGGTCCAAAATTTCCTTGCTAGATCTAATTTGCTTAGCATACTCCACACCTTCTCCAACATTGTTCAATTGAGTTTTTCAGAAACAGTATTTTGTTGTGGAGTATACACCATCGTGAAACGGCGAGTAATCCCTTCCTCTCTATAATAGCCCTGAAATTTCTCACTAGTATACTCGCCATCAATATCTTATCACAGATATTTCACTTTGTGTACAGTCTGAATCTCAATTTGTATGCACCAACTTTTGAAGGTTGAAAACATTTCATATTTATGGATAAGAAATTTATCCACAAATACATTGAGTAATCATCTATAAAAGAGACCTGGTATAGCTTTCCAAAGAGTGAAGCAATAGGAAAGTATTCCCACACGTCACGATGTACATACTTTTGTATCTCCGTGGAATTATGAGTTCCAACGCCAAAAGCTTGCATATGTTATTTCCCCATGATAGAATGTTCATAAAATGCCAAGTCAACTTTATCCAAACTCGATAACAACTTTATTTCTGGCCTAATTGGGAATGCCATAGATGAAACATCTCAATGAGAGGTTTGGTAAACTAAATTGTTTCACAAATAGTGATGACTACTAACAAGTACAGATTATTGTGCTTTCATCCCCGAAGAATGACCTTTTTATCACATGATGCGATATCTAACACGCCCTACTTAGAATTCGACTATAAGCCGTGTGAATCCAACACTCTAAAAGATATCAAATTTTTTTTCATGTTTTGTATAAATCTAACATGGATCAACGTACGGTCGACACCATCAAACATGCGGATCTTTACAGATCCAACACCCTCAATTCCACGGGATTGGTTGTTCCATGCAATAATTAAATCGTTTGATAAAAAAAAGTACGAAAAAACTCACTAAAGTAACAAATGTGATGAGAACAAGCACGGTACAGAATCCATACAACTTTTGGTGAACTGCTAAGTGCATACCTCTGACATCATAAACTGTTTGTGTACCAATTGTTCGAATCAATATGAAGATACTTCGCAACCTTCGTCACTAAAGAGTAGACCTTGTACTTACCACATCATCAACAAAAAAACATTCTTCCTATGTAACATTAAGTTTTAACACAAAAATTTTCACTATAATGTTTGTCCATAATGTATCGTTCACAAGTTTTCACGTTAACTCTACTAATATCATGTAACAAACTACTATTGACAAGGAGTTCCAAGTATCTAATATTCATGTGCAGCTTCGGCCTTCTTTCTTTAGAAGATGTAACCAACTTTTCATCACTAGCTTTCTAAACTTTTAAAACATCTTCTACAAATATTTTACTTGAATCAAAATGCTTTGTTTTCAAAGAGTCCTAAGTCTTTGTGTTGCAAGAATAAAAAGCAAAAACACAAACGAACTTCCAAGCACATCAGCTCATTTTTCTTGACTCACATCTTCACTCTTAATAGTTATATACAAATCTGATGGATTTTGACCAATAGTCGTTACATTATTCATAATCAACCATTTTTAAATACGACAATCGTATTTATATTCAGTATTGTTAAACATACGAGTTGAACAGTAGTCGGAAAATATCTCAAAATTTCCATTTGTACATACCCGACTTACGTCAAAAGTATGCACTGAATGCAATTTAAACTAACATCAGTATTAGGCTGGCAATGATAAGTTGCTCCGCAGCAAAACTTAGGTAATGCACAGCGGAAATTGACTTCTGGTTGCTTTCACTGTCTTCAACATTACAACAGACATCGGATGTTTGCTCAATGTGTTCTTGTGTATTAAAAGAGAGTCGGTTTGTAGCACTTTTCAATCTCTTTGAGGGAATACGGAGTCAATTCCCAATCTACACATCGGCGTAAATGGAAGAAGAAAAAAAAAGTGTATTAAAGCGCGAAGCGGCTAATTTGCGCTATTATTGCTATTGCTTCACCACTATCGAAAGGATTTTCCGGTACTAACCAAGAAAAATAGTTTGCCAAGGTGAAGTTCTGTGCAGTGAAACCAAAAAGAAACTGTAATCTTTTAGCCAACCGACTGCACTCCAATACTCTTAGAATTCAGACATACCTTGAGACCACATGCACTGCACCGAACGAAGCTCCCATCCCACCGCACATTGATTCATTGGAGGCTACAACATTCTACACATGGCTTCTGCAGCCCTAGATCACCATATTCTAACAGCCTCATCGCATACCTGTAACTTCCGTACAATTTCGAACGCAGAGAGATTTTTCTTAGAATGATTGCCATACATCAAACAGAAGTCAAACTGCTGCAAAATTAACGACAGACGAGTGAATTTCACGTCTATCCTCGATCTATTAACCAATTCAGAACAGCTGTCAGGTTGACATGTGAGCTCCACACTCAACTGTACACATGTAACTAAATACATGGTTTTGTCCTAGTCCCTGAATCTCGAGGATCGTGAAAAAAGTGCTCCATGTAAAAGAATCTTCTCACTAGACAAGCAACATGCATTATCCAGTAGCTGGTCGTTACAGATCTCCGTGGAATGGTACTTATATTAAAAGTCGAAAATATATGCAGATAAAAAATAAGAATCGTAAAAGATCAGAAACAGAGGGTCATGAAACCAAACCAGTACCTATCTCAGGAAAAAGAATCGAAAATCTTTAACAAGGAAAGCAGTTAACAAACGCGAGGCGAGATCACAACTGAATCCCTGCAAAAAGGCCTTCGACAACACTAGCGTAACTGCGTCTCTTCCTAGACTTCAGGCGTGCGATATGGAGATAACTCGAAATGTCCGTGCCCAACTGGAAGACGCCCCAGCAAAAGATTACACGGATCTATACTGAACACCAGTGATAAGCAGCGCACAAGCTTGACAGCTATTCACATTCGACGATGGTAGACAAAACAGATCACTATGTTAGAACGCCTTCAGAGGACAAAGGTTATTACGCACACATACCCAATCCCCTATACAGGCAGAAGCTCCTATACAAAACCATGAACACAAGAGTACACACAAGTTCAAGTCTGCCTTCTCGCCGTCCCACATTACACGAGCGGAAGCTCCACCCAAAAAAGTATGGGAGTCGTGCTAAACATGAGTTCATTTCTGCCGTCTCATTTCTCCACAATCATAGATGATTCTCTTCGTTCTGCCTCCATGTGATGCTAGTCACTCAGATCTCCTACCCCAGGTGCCATAAGAAAGATAGCTATTGAATAAGGACCCATTGTAATTGTTTCTTTTACGTACATCGATCGACAGGTCAATAATGGTTCCAACCATGTGGTAGGTGTTCCAAACTTTCCTCAAGTATAAGTGCATCACAAGTGTGGGTTTAATTGATCATTTCCGCTTGTAATCCAACTGGCGAACAACTCCTAACATACCCGATGTGGGCGGTCGCTTACCCCTTCGTATTTCACAACTGATAAAAGGCGTGTGCAACTCCCAGAAGTATCAGCATCACAATAACAAAGTCAATTCTTATCCCCAGGCTCCTGCCCTTGATCATCCTCAGCCTTGCATCCTCGGCCACATCGCGTAATTTGTAAGCAGGTGAAAATACCCAGATCAAATCTTTCACGATAGAGATATCAATTTCACTCACAGCTCAGCTTGGGTACAGGATCGTCGTAATGACAGCTTCCCTGCTTCTCCTCACTCGTTACCTTGTTTTCACACATGATGGATCGAAGAGGCCCAAAAGGCCGAAAACACATGCACATGCCGGGACACTAGTGGGCCGTCTTCTCGAACAAGTACCAACAACCTGGACAAGGACGCTCAACTCTATAAAACCCTCATAATAAATTATTAACTAAATTGCCTGCACCTTCCAGTCTCAAGCCCTAAAAAGGATAAAAATATCTTGAGTCCGGAAGTTATGATTCCTTCCTACTTGACTCCAGTGACCGTATCGGAGAAGGTAAAGCCCAATTCAATGCAGATGTAAAAAGTATATACATCAAAATCTCATCTAGCATGTTCTCATTTCCTGGGAGAACAAGATACACCTTAGAAGCTGCGGCCCTTCATCTTCACGCACCACGTGTGACACAGATCTTCACACCTGGCCTCATCACTTCCTCAACAGGTTTTGTAGCAGACAAGAGCAGACCAAAATAACTTGGACTGAGCTGGAAAGGCTGTTGCTCTCAGTCAACTGATGAACTTCAAAAAGACCTGCCATGTTGTAGACTTATGGCATAGTCTATACACGGCCTCCCAATCGTGTCCTCATCTTTCTGTGAAGAACGCAACCTCAATTCACATGGAAGGGCTTCAAATGAGGGTACCCAGTCCTGCTCAGGTGCTCTGCCAGAACTTTGTGGGATCTTCCGAATAGAGGGTTCGATCCTGTATTTCTAAATTAGCAATGTGCAAGTCAACCATCCAAGCTTGGATACACTTGCATATGATAAGCAGGCCTGGTAATAACCACCAACTGTCGTCCTCCCTGCATATACACAATAAACACATGCGGAGTGGTTCAAATCATCGACCGTAAGGGAACCTCGTTTGTGTGGAGTACGATAAAACAAGCAGGTTAGCACATCTTCAGACAAAAAGGACACAAACAACAAATCTTCAAGCACGGATTTCCAAATATGAACAAGGCTGTACAGAAACTTACGTGTTAAATTTGAGGGCGGTAAGACCGCTTTTGGGCATCAATTGCGGGACCACATAATGAAACAAGCCATATAATAAAGCCATGAACTGCCGAAGAACCAAAAGTTAGAACAGGATTACTAAGCCACATAGCTTCAGGCCACAGTTAATCTTCAGTATACAACTTGTAGTTGCTAAAAAATACTTGGGCCGCCAAAATGAAGTTAGAACATTTGACTTCCGTCCTTTCAGAATCAAATCTTCACAAAGGCAATCTTTCAATGGTGAACAAACAGAGCGGCCAGTGAAGAAGTTTCAGGACATAACTCACCACATTGGCAAAAGAAGTGGTATTCCATAAAGCGTAAACTCGAGCTAGCCCTGCTGCCCGTCGTGGTCCATGACTAAATAATGCATTGAGGCCAGCCGCACTTGGTAGCAAAGACGCCAAAGGAAGTACCAAAAGAACCAAAAGAAAAGCGTCCAAAGATATAGAGAAAAATTGTAACAATGTAAGTAATGTTAAACTTAAATCTGCTAGAAGTAGCAAAGATATGACCAGCCCAACCGTTGCCTGCAACACATCGAAGTGAAAAGTGATCACTTTCTACCATTAATAAGTTCAAATCTCCTTGCAGACGGTAAGTCTAGAGAAAAGTCATAGACGAAGATTTTGACAAATTTACAGCTTGATAATCTTTGAGTTGTAGACAACTATACGATGTTAACACTCATCAAATTACATCAAGGTAAGTTCAAACAAGTATGACCGTTTAAAAGACTCTGCCATACGTTTACATTCGACACTGAAAGAAAGGTGAGGCTCTAAACACAAACACCTACTTAGGCAGTCGTCCTTACTAAAAACACGAACATCGGCAAATTTAAAACCTATGCTTTAATCTTGTTTTTTGACTCACCTGATGACCAACGGGCCTCAAGTTGCGCAAGAGTATTGACAACGGAAACATTAAATCCTTCCTGTCCTCCAGTGATGGAAGTGTCACGGCGTCCAGTATTGCGCCCCCGATTCGTCTGCGAGACAAATTTAACTGAGAATAGCTTTCAGTCGACTGCCACTGTGCCGGAGGAAAATTTTCCGGGACTCCAGGAGCTGCTAAGAGGGACAATCCAGGGGATGTGACCCCGCTAGGAGAAACATTCGTTCTGCAGACAACAAATGGAAACGTTAGGCCTAGGTACAGTATGCATCATCGGAAGTCATTCACGAAACATGAATGAATGTTTGGATTCCTACTAACATCCATACACTCCTGCCAGCCAAAAAGTTGAATTCTGAGTTTTAGTACTCACTGTACTCTGGGAGGGGAGTCTCCTCCATCCGATAATGCCGGAGGTGGTGATGGTCCATCTCGGGTAAGAACAACACCTAGTTGATAGTAACCAGATGCCGTCGCTTGAAACCATGCCAAGTCTATTCGAATTCCTTGTTCACGAAAACGCGGATTGACATGACTGTTCAGCCATTCGTCCACTGGAAGCAGTGTGGAGCGTAAAGAGCCTCGTCGTACAGTTCGTAGCTGTGCATTGAGTCCAGCCACAAATCGATACCACACAGTAGCGGGTAGTGCCTACACATAACCCACAACGTCAGTGGGACACAGAAGCAGAACCCAACTCATCCAGTCTGAACTCCAATAAACAATTGGAATAGCACTGGTGTTAATTCTACAACTTACAAATCAACACCCGAGAACTCCACATCGTAAGAAGAATAACCTTGACACTTTTACAGCATACTCACAACTCAATGTCATACAAAACTATTCTACCCAGTAAGTCCAACAACACTTCTATCAACGGTATACACACATAGAGTCAAAAAGCCTAATGTTCACAAACGTTCACCTTAAGAGAAGATACAAATGGGTACAATATAAATATAAATGTGTATATATATATATAGTTCGGAATGCGTTCATTGTACATGCAATACCTGACAAATAAGGCTTGTGAGAAGATTGTCGCTGTGTAGTGAATATGCCGCCATATACGTGCCATTCCCTCCAAATACTATTGACATAGGTAGTCTTTGAATAAGTCGCGGTGGAAGATCAGAACGTTTCTCGTCCCCTCCAGAGAAGACATCAATGTAGGCCAACATGAGATCCGGTGTTGCTGCCACCTGGTTATGTGGTGAGCCCCGATCACCGTGAATAAGTAAACTTTGATAAGCATAATGAAGGAACCAGAGGCCGAGAGTTTGTCTAAATTGACTCAGAAAATTTCGAATGGGACTAAAACAAGACGAAATTTACAATCATGAAACATTTCAAACAAGTCATAACAATCAAATTGAAATAAGCCCCACACACACCTTCAGACCCTCATACAGAGCTCGAGAACGGCAAGAGCGGAGGCACGCATGATCATATTCTGAGCGGACATAATCACGCAATTGTTGAACTTTTTTCCTTCGTCTCCACTGCTGCCAATGCCACGCAAATGGATACGCAAGAACAGACAATATACTATGCACAGAGCCTTCCCACCACTGATAAGCAGCCAGACTGTTGATTTCCTCCACGAATCTATTGTAGGCGTCCTCATATCTGCATACAGAACGATTATGATCCTCAAAGTGCCTCTTCGAAGTTGCGAATCTGAAGGACTTATATTTCAAACTTTCGGAAAACGTTTCAGGTACTACCAACTTTGAAAGAGCTGAGTCAAAGTCGTTGAACAAAAAGAACCCTTAACTGACACTCTAGAACTAGTTTGAATGGGACAGAACTAAAGCGTGCGAGCTAGTCGGAAAGCACGAACTGTACTTCTTTGACCTATGAATACATGGGTCACGTAAGAACGGACAGCTCAGTCATTATTGGTTTATCTTACACAAGATCAATGATTTGCTCCGGAGGTGAATGAGGCAGATGCCAGGGTTCTCCAAATGAGTTGCAGCCCATAAAATACATACGATGTACGTGGCTTTGAGACTCTTCAACCCGTGTAGTCTCCAAAACCTAAGAATGCAAAGATGTCAAAAGCGTTATCTTGACTATCCCTTGCGTTGTTTCGAATTATCATTGTCGAAAAGAAGGTTAGAAGTCAACTCGTGATAAGCACAACATCTGCTTGGAAGAAGTTAAATTTGAGAAAAATATGTTCAAACAAAACAAAAAAAAATGGTCTTTAATTACCTCGTTCAAGGACTCCAAGAATGGAAAAGAATGATCGATATGACCACCAACAGGAGCCGGAGCTGGACCCGTGAAATCATCATTTCCAATAAGTTTCATTCGAGCTACACTCAGTACAAGCGCCAGCAGCACAAGCGCACTTGAAAGTAGTATAGTAAAAAGCCATGGTCCTCCGAGTGTATATATAAGCTCCTCTATCGGTGTGTAACAGTTTGGCATACGATATTTCTCTGACATACACATGTATGGACAGGACGGCTCCAATACTCCTCCTGGAAAGTAAGTAAATATAGCACATGAGTTGTTATCATGCATACCAATAAGTTGAAAGTAATAATCGGCTTTTATTGCATTTAGCCGGTAACTTCAACGTTATTCATAAAGCATGATCTATGATGCTTGCAAGGTGTTCAAGTACAAACCACGAACGTAGATGAAGTTGGCTCGTCGTGGTAAATTTGTTGTCGGACAAGGCTTACATAATCTTATGTCAGAACCTGACTGATTTTTATATGTACCTACAGGACACTCCTGAACACCACCTCCGAGAGTATCAAAAAAGTGAAAAACTTGTTTGTATAGAAATGTGAATCACTGACGCATATAAAAATTTCGGCATATATGTGAAGGGCAGCTTGCATACGAAGAGTATACTTAGGGTTTAAGGTTTATGGTAGTCGTTGACGGTTGTAAGAAGCAATCCTCACCTCACAGAAAATGCCATGGAGTCCTTTCGGGCATTCCCTACCGGTAATTGTACCGTCACTTCCTCCCGAACCATCGTCGCTACCAGTTCCACCCCTGATGGATCAACGAGAAAACAGCGAAACAATGAAAAGGAGATATAACAACGAAAGATGCTCAAAATCGCAAATATACCTACACGGGCATAATTAACCTCAGTCATGAGGTGTCTAACATTCTTCACCCACTGAGAGTATAGCAAAACCAAGGCTATTACCGGCTGCTCACACCCAGTACCGAAATCAGGACATGCAATTTACTGCATAAATCCATTTCTGAACTCATAATTGATAGACTGCATCTCGGATGTGTCCTGGCTACCTTGCATGGATGTAACCTTCAACGTTGGCAACTGCTAAATAATCTTCACCAACTGCAATGTTTGACCAGTGAAAGTGCACTCTTCCACCAGCCCCACCACCACCTCCTACAGAACCCCCATGGCCGCCAGCGCTAGAAAGCAAGGACCCATTTTGTAGGGTAAGACTTTGCAAAAAAAGTAGCAGACTTCCCCCTGATCCACCCCCAGGCCCACCAACTTCGGTCTCTGGAACTACAAGAGAACTCTCTCCATCCACTGTAAGAGCCCCTGCAATATCGAGACTGGCCAAGGGATGATCTAATGATCCCAAAACTGCGTACGAGTAGATCATGATAAAGGAGTTTAGGACAAAAATTGATCACAAAAGTGGGGATCACAAATGAAATATGTAAGAAAGTCATGTACTTAACAGGTTAGTTTGAAGCTAAATATAGCTGAACATATTTACTCGACATCCATTCAGGCCTATGCAACTAATTGAAAGAGAAAGTATGGAAAACCATGATGGTAACGAGACTAAACAGCCAAAAATATATATCATCCAGGCAGCAGATGAAAAAAATAAAAAGAGATGGTTGTCCTACCAATGATTCCACCCCCAGAAGTTACCAACCCAACACTTGAATTACCACTCCCACTGCCCAATTCGCATGGCATACTTTGATCTCCATATTCTATACCACCCTCAGCCACGCTTCCATTAAAATAACCTCGTCCACCCTTTCCACCATGACCGCCTCCACCAGCAGCAAGTGTTTCTGACATTTCCCCCTTCCCTAATCCACCTTTACATCCTGCACAGAGAAAAGACATATGGACAATAAATAACTCGATAAATAGTTCAATTGACCATAGAGCAACAAGATGCATCACCAAAAGACATTCATCACCCCTACAATGTAATAATGTCAGTATCCAAGAAGTAAAGTATGATTGCTGACGAAGAAAAAACTCGCAATACCAAAAGCAAACATGCAGCCCAAGTGAAGTGAACTGATTACAAACCCCAGCCAGACGCAGTAAGAAGGCCATCCGGATTGATAGAGATAGTTCTGGTTCGTTGAGCGTGAACTACACTGCCCTTAATAGTACCCTCTATGATGATATCTTCCACACGACAAACCTGCACATCATCGTCTCAGCGTTTGTCAACATGGTTAAATATAGGTGATGATGTTGAGGGCTAATTGGAAAGACCCTGACAAATAAAGTTACAACATCATTGTAATGACGTATCAAAAGTAGGAAATACTTAAAGCCATGCGTAATCAGCGACTTTTGAGTGTCACCAAACTGTCACCAACCTGGAGAGTAAATGGAGAAGAGGTATTCAAGGTACAATCTTCAGAGGGATTGGTCACTTCTGAAGGGCAAGTAGTTCGGAGGCAATGCACTCGAGATGTCCTGAAAGACAAGTCAAATCGATTGATGACATTGTTGCTTCATACACATGACAATGTAGGAAGAAAGATTTCTCAAATCCACCAGAACTGCCAAAGGTAAACCTTGATAAGAGAGGCCTCCATACTTCCCCATAAAATAACAGCTGAGGGCTACTTACAGATATCTTAAATGTTTTTTTTATGTAACTCTGTTCTCACCAACTTGGTTTGATCCTTCTGGTTTAGTAAATTCCATAAGCAGTGGATGTATCTTAGGTTTGGAAGTCAAAGTCTTCCAGAATTGAACACTGAAATCATCAACTATGCGCACTACTTACTCATCACTTAATGGTGAATCGTAATCAAGTGGTGCCTGGAGTACAGAACCTGATCCAACCTGCAAAACTTGGACACAAGACACCATTTAATCTCACCACAGCCATCAGGCGGTAGTCATTGAACGACATGCTTTGACTGTGAAGACGTTGAAAGATGACACATAGGCATGCCGTGTGGGACGACGTTTATAACAACAAAAAACCTTCGCCGTATAAAACTCCCAGTTAGACATATGACAGGTAGAAGGTTGCGACACTTACAGCTAGAGTGAAAAACAATGAGATAAACAGTCGCTCCGCCTTTATGGCATCACCAGACCCGTTGAGTTTCAAGAGCCCTTGACCATGCATTCCAAGGTTGGAATTAGACTTGATCACAGAGCCCTCCTAGAAAAGGATGATCAGAAAATTGAAATGTCAGAATTTGAATATGATCTGGAAGTTCTTATCGATATCCATTGTTCTCTCTGCATGATGAACCACATTGAGGAATCATATGCATCCCCTCAAATGTTCCCATTGCCAAAGTTTCAATCCATACTTCACTTCTCCCGCAAGGACTGCTCTCCAAAGAAACCGTGATAGGCAATTCATGTGATTCTTCTGGCCGGAGATTTGCCCAAGATTACTCCGACAATGGAGACATCTACATAGATTGTACACACAAAGTCCTTTACCATACCCAAGTCATGGTTTAAATAGTACCATGGTCTTGATTCTGAGCACTGGGTAGACTACTGATCACACAACCCTACGCGCCAATATGAAATGAGAACAAACCACCAACTAAGTCATCCATTTACTCCACCTCTCTGCAGAGGTAGAGGGAGCTTCTTAAAATGAACGGGCATTTAGATATACGTACTCTAAGGACAGCGATACTGCTTGCCTCCAATTCTGATGTACTAGTCAGGGAGTCTGAACCTCCTTCAATTTGAAGTAAGGAATTGACCATAAACAGCATCTTCACCTGAAGTTTCAGGGCACCGTAGACCTGTGTATGTCGTGATAACCAACCTTAGCAAAATAATCGTAGCGCATACGTGGAGTGTATTTAAAACTACAAACCAAATCTAAAAATGACCAGCATAAGAATGGAACGTTCACCATTCTTGTATTGAAATCAGGAATACAAAAGTAAGCACACGAAACACACAGCACACAAGTCCGCTAAGTTTTTCTACTCTTCAAAATCAAAAGTCCAACACATGCAATAGATGCGCATGTTGGAAGAGAAGGCAAGAAAAGAACAATATAATAAATGACTACTTACGATAATTACTGCGTTGGTCATGAGTACTTCTTCCGCTACAACCTCAAACTCAGAACTTGAATAATGAGCCAATCCAAAGCTGAGCAAGGCATCGGAGGCAATAGTCAACTGTCCACGAACCTGGTCAAAACAGATTTCAACAATGATGAGCAAGGTCTCCAGTAATGGAGAAACGCGTGTTCTAGACAGTGAAAATAAGAAGCTGGTTAAAATTCCAGAGGATTACTTCTCGCATAGACAGACTGACCTGCATCCTACTCCAAAGGAGTGGAACCAAAACCCTGGCTCGACCCTCAACTTGGACATTAGCCCAAAGTGGATGATTTGGAAACTCCAGCAACAAAGTCTCTGTAACAGTTGATTGGTTGTTGTTGCTCACTGTCAAGCTCTGAGGTACAACGTCAAAGATAGTGCCTGCACCTCCAGAATTATTCGGGCATGCCAAGCTGTGTCCTCCTGTTGTATTGCAAATTATTATTAATCACTGATTTCAGTGTATCTCCGGTGAAACCACGTCATACAGTCACACAGATAATTACACGCAACAGAGGTTTGATATCTGTATAGGAATGCATATCATCTTCTGACCAAAATTTTCATGTTGTTATAAACATGTCAATTTTGTTACACATAACTAACACTTGAAACGAAATATACCTGCAACGCAAAACGTACAAATAATTTCTCGGATATAGAAGCTCACAGCATTTCAGATGGATGATCTCTGATATTCCTCTCCCCATGATCACACTATGTCGACCAGAAAACTAATTATCTCCAGTGAACTATAATGGCTAATTGATTGTACATAGCAATGCTCGTGCTCTATTTTCTAGCTAGGAAGATCAGTCGAAATACTTTGGAAGATCAGTTTAAAAGACTTCAGGGATCACTGCGATGTCCCCTTGAAGCACATCAAACCCTCGCGTGTACTCTCTTCATCCACTAACCCTCTCTTGTGAATTAGTTTTTCTGTCGAATGAAAATATACGGCTGCTGTGTCAAGATGTTACAAAGTTTCTTATAATAAAACCACTCACTATCCTCTGGCCGACGAACAAACTCTCAAACCTTCACATAGACTCAAAACAAAATTTCTTAATTCTTGCCTTCCATCCAGCATGATAGAATGTTTTGTCTTAAATATGTTCAAGTAGGAGTATTCCAATATTTCAACTCAAAATTCCAATAAAATGGCATTGCAAAACTAATCTCTTCTATTGAATAGATGTGTGATTATAACAAAGGTGATAGTGATCGTAAAAAGGTTTGATGAGCAATCAGCTCAATGGGCTTGTTGGGTAATGGGATTATAGCGGGAATACCGACCGAGATGAAATTGCCAGGTTAATTTAAAACATTGACACCACAAAACTGGACACCTCTAAGTAAATCTCGCCTCTAAGATCCAAACCATTTACCGTGGTATCAACGTGATTTGCACCAATTATATACTGATTGGTATAATTAAAAAACAACCAGGTATGCTCACCTCTCACGTATAATTTCACAGCTTCATTGCGGTACGTTTCAATCGCCAGACGACCCCCACCTCCACCTGCTCGTCCACTACCTCCGTTTACACTGATTTCACCATTCCCTTTTCTGCAGTGTACATAAGGATGAAAATATCAAACTGGCGATCATATGCGTATCATTTGCTAACAATATCATATATAAATACGACCAAAAGAAAAAACTTCAACATCACTGTTAATATCAGATCACTTTCATTTGTCAAGGTATTCTCATGACGTGTGAATAACATCTATTGGAACACCGTACCAACACCGTTGAGTGATGCCACGGAACCTACGGATTGGGGGCTAAGATAGAGTACTACTACTGCATCCAACTGTTTCAATATTCAGCTCTGGAGATGAACCGATGCAAATTCAGCAACTCCATAAACGAATTGCCGTGATGTCTATTTCTGTCAGTGAGTTAAGAGACTGCAACAAGGAGAAGTTCACCAGATTGCTAATGTCCTTACTAGTTATCACCAATCCATGAACAAATTGGACCCCAGTCATGAATGTTATGATTAACAACTTGTACAATCACACAAGACAAATGGGTAGTCCAACAACGTCGTTTTCTGGTTCTCAACCACGTGCAGAAAATACAGATACAGAACATAATACGTTAGAGACAATTAAGACCCTCCAACAACTGTAGAAATTCAGGTGTCGAGTCCTCACATTTCTACCGCCCTGACGATAGCACTACCTCCAGAGCCACCTCCACCAAATTCTCCCCCCGACCCGCCGTCTGCATCAATCTTTCCATACAGCTCCAGCACATTTAATGCTGTGAGACTAAGTCTTCCCCCACCCGCCCCTCCATAATCCTCTTTCTTGCTAGTCGATCCACCTTTACTTCCATAACTCCAAGGTCTTGCGAGAGAGGACCACGCATAAACATCCCCACCCCATGTATCTTCCTGCTGTTTTCCACCCTCTGCCACACAGCATGCTCCTCTGCCTCCATAACCACCTCCAGCACCTTCATAGCCAACGGGAATTCCACTTGTTTGGGCTGGCGGGCTTCCACCCAATCCCTTGGCACTAAATGAGGAACCCAAAGCTGCGCTGACATTATCGGCCCTGATGATTAACGTTCCGCTAACAACGGATGCATTCACATTGAGGATCAAATTTCCTGTAAGTACAATAGTGAGGTTGCAGCCAGGATATGGGCAACTTAAAGTTACATCCGGAAGAAGTTCTAATGTACCTTCCCCCGCGATTATGGCATCCTCCTTCAAAGTAACAGTCTCATTTACAACACAATACTCATCTAGTGACCCAATCCCTAGAAGGTCTGTCTCGCAAGAAAGAGACTGATCAACCAGTTCCTTCGGCAAGCACGGGGGATCCTCATCATTTTCATCACATGGCAGTCCACCTTTCTTCCACTGCAAAAAACCTCCAGCTGTTGTTGAACTTGTATTGCTGACGAGTGGATAGCCGCTCCACAACTCGATTGAGTTTTCAACAAGACTACCAGGTACGCAGGACATAAGTGCTAGAACCAACATGAGGAAAAATGGCAAAACAGATCCACGCAAGCAGTAAGGTGGATCCATTTTGCAGCTCCACCTTCATAGTCAAATTAACTCAAGGCTGATTGTGTCCCAAACAGCTGCTGTATGTACCGTAAGTGCAAGCTACAACTGTCCACGAGCAGATGATAACCACCACGGGCAAACTCAGTAAACCTTGACCGCCTCTGTGAACATTTTCATGGACGGCTATCTATATGTATCCATTTGTCAAAAGCTGGTCCATGTAGATCAATGACTAAGGGGGAAGCACCTTAGACAACAAGAATATCCGTCAATCCCCGCGCACTTAAAGGCGCATCTACTAGCGTACCTTCGATCTACGAAGGGTGCGTCATCCTGGATGAGATTTTTCCTGTCCCTGTATGATGGCTTTTACTGTCAGTAGATTTTCCTAACACTTATATATAGTGTTACAGAATCTTGACTGCAGCTTATCATCAATGTGCGAATCGAAAGGATGACCACCTCTTGCTTCCAACTTCCATGTCATTAACGATTCAAAGATGATGGCCATGATAAACTCGTGTCCATTATCCACTTACGTTCGGACGGTAAGGAAACGGAGCAAAGATGACCGGGCGGAAATCCTGTGTGGACATTACAAGAATTTGAAAAGTCAGTACTGAACACACATACATGTTGAAAGAATAATTACGACAGAGGTCACAAAAAAGAATGAGACCCAAAAAGTACCTCTTTGCCTAAACCTGACTTTTTGAGACTTCCCTACTATTAAATCTCTACCCTACAAGAAACTCAAACGAAAAAGAGACCCCCAAAAAATCTTCAAGTGACCATTCATATCATGCAGACCGTGGAGCAATATGTAGACTTTCATGCTGTGACTTTCACTCTGTAAATTAGTCATCTACACCACTCCGCTCGTGGCTACGATGAGGAACCTTGAGACAAGTGTTTAGTCTTCTCAAGGTTCTTCCTCGTAGCCACAAGCGAAGCAACATATTTTCGAGCACAGTTCGAATTAGGACGCCAATCTGAAGTGACAAAACACCTCAGGCCATTTCTCACCCTTGCATGTCAACGAGGAAACCAATTCAGTTTTCACCAAGTCTATGATATGGTGTAAGGTTTCCGGGTGCCATGTAACAAAATCCAGTCCTTCTCATCTATACTAAGTGCATACTTGTTCCTCACCCTATCTGTTATATGAAGGGAGAACGTCGCAATATGCAATTGCGCACCAAACATCTGCCGGTAGATAGTTTCGCAACCTCAAGAAAAGGAAAGCGACATGGAGTACAGTACAGACGAGGTCTTGATTCCCAAGAATGAAACGGAAGTTCTGAAACTGAGATTGTATGGAATTTCAATGCCCTTTTTCTAAACCCAATGAGAATATTATATAATTTACCGAAAATTATACACTCTTTTTCGAATACTTGTTAAATCTCGTGAATGAGGCAAACTGACAAACCCTAATAACATCTACTAAACTCTCTATATGTATTAATTGTTACTGAATTCGTGACCTGTCATTCGAGTGGAAATCGAAGTAACAAGATTCCTCCAGCTTTCAACCCGCTTGTTCAATATGACAAAACCAAGTGTAGAGGGCACAGGTGCGTTCTTTGCAGCGCAAGGACAATGTTCAGCATTCGGACTTCAACAACCTCTTAACTTCTAAGATTGGATCGTATCAAGATTCACCCGTGGACTGCAACACATTAAAACGATCAAGATGTGCTAAACCGTCTCGACTGCCAGTCTTTGCTCCAAAGGATTAATTGTTCGGCGGTTTCCATGTTTGATTATGCAATAGCGAGTAGAGCACGATAAGCTCGCCTGCAAGGTCGCCTACAGATAAAACGATCCGGCATCGTGCGAAACCAGCATGGCTACGTACGCATGACCAGGTAAAGATGACACCCATGACCGACTCAATTACCAGTAGCAGCTAAATCAGTCATACAAAAAGCCCGTCTCTCCAAAGCCCGGTAGATCTAAACATTCAAGATTCCCTGTCATAACGCTCACTTTGGTAGACCAAACACCATAGCCTGATTGAGAATTGAAGGTGATTAACCTGCAATTGCAACCCGCTCCGCCTGTCATCCTTAGCTACTCCTGGCTAGAAGAGCTGTCCGATCGCCAGAGGTCCGAGCTTCGAAGAAAGAAACCAGCATCAATCTCCGCGAGTCGAAACCATTCAAAAGGATGAAATTGCAACGCCAAGTGCTTTCTTGATCCAAAAACTCCCTGTACGGTAACTACGACTGTTCCACAGACTCTTGTCCGCACAGTGCTCCACTTGATCCGCAGCTTATAACTAGAAACCTCTTGGTCCCAAGATTAGCACGTCTGTCACTCATCCCCAGAAAATTCTTTCCTCCACAACTCTCCTACCCTCCCACGCTAGCAGAGCACTGCTGCAGCAGCCCTTGACGTGCGAACGCCAATCCTTCAGCTTCCCTAGGCCCCTGTCAGTCCCTCGGTACGCCTCGCAGATGCCCTGCAGCGCATCCCATTCAATTTCGCACGCCTGCTCAAGTCCCTGCTCGGCCCGCGGGGCAAGAAATGAAGTCAGCGATGATGACCTTCCATAGCAGCACCACCTCCTCCACAACGCACCACAGCGGCTGCTGCTGCTGCTTCCACTTCCATCCCCAGCCTTCCTCCTCTCCCTCGCCCTCCTCGCACAACAGTAGCACCAACCATTTCGCTCCCCTAGACGACCATCAGAAGCTTTCGAAAGTCAGCCAGCATGGCAGGAATTCTGCAACGGATCCCAAAAGTAACTTCACCTCCGCAACACCAGCTGCTGCGATCATCCTCCTCGCCCGACATATCGGACAGACCTACAGCAGATCCCAGACATACGAAGATTCAAAATCGTAATAAATTGCGCTATACTCTCCCCTCAGTCCGTTCCTTCCTTTCTTCCTTCCCTTCTTCTTCTTCCTCCTCCGTCCTCCCCCTCTTCCTTGCACCTTCCCCTCCCCTCCACTCGTCTCTGCTCTGCTCTGCTCGGTTCTTCCAGCGAGCTAAGCAAACCAAGATTTGAACACCAAAAACCCTAAAGCAGGGGAAAAGCGAATTACGTGTCCGAGACACAGTCCCCTACTGCTACTGCTGGCCAGAAAATAATCCTCCACGGCCCTCGGCCTCACTTGGCGAGTCCGAACCAGCACCACGTTCGATCCTGGGTCCGGATGCGGGATCGAACAGTGCAGGCAGGAAGATTCGCCCAGCACGCCCGCATCCGGAGCTGTAATTAGCGAGCGGGGTTCGTTAATCGCCTGGGGATTAGGGAGGTCCAGGCGCAGGCCCAGGCCGTAGGACGACCACCAACCATATTGCCCTTTTCCGTTGCCATGCATGCGTACAACAGCCCAGGCAGGCCGGGATCTACCCGCTCGCCTCACCCGGCCAACGGAACGACCCGGGACAGAAGGATAGTATACACGACAGGCTCACTGGTGCCAGCCTTGGTCCCGCTCAAACTTTCCATTGGACCCACAATGCGGCCCCACCCCGCGCAGAGCTGGCCATGCGCCGCCAACCCGGTGATAACGCGCGTTTGTAATGTTGCCAAATAAATTCTGCGATCGAAAGGGCGCCTTTCGGCCACCTGGATTTAGATTGCCTGGAGTGTCGCCAACGTGCCCCGCCCGTCTGGCGGGCTGCCATTCGCCGGGCGTCCGCTCATTTTTGCAGCTTCTTGCGCTTACAGAGGAGCGGATTATCGTGAATTTTTCCGCTGCTAATTCGATCGGTTGGCGGGCGGCCATTGGCCCAGCGTCGGAGCCTTCGTGAGTTGTCATCGCCTTGTCAGGAATGGCGCAGCGCGAGGCCCTTCACATCACCCTCGGTCCCCAGCGGTGATTCTGCATTGACAAATTCCATTCGATTTTGTCCTATCACATGTTCCACGGGAAATGACGAAATAGAGAGACTTTGACTTTGGGCCCTGGATTTCGGCCAACCCTTCCCCCCGTACTCACATCGTTGTTTGTTGTGACGATGTATGCCAATCAAACCCGCTACAGCAGATCAGCTATTTCACTGTGGTGCTTTCAAGGGTATGTGTAAGTTGGACCACCACGAGAACCTCCTCCTCTCCTCTTGTTAGCTTCTTTTTTCCTTCATTTTTTCTTCTCTGCCCTTATTCGGATCGACATGTGATTATTCGCGACATTTCCACGGCCACTGAGTGCGAATATGTCTCATTTTGGAAACGTCACTGTCGACAACTACCACATAACCGTACACCTCTCCGGACTCGGAATATCTTCAACATATGCTGCATATGTTGAAGATTACTGGACAATATGCATATGATATGCATATTGTCCAGTTGCGCACATGACTCGAACGGTTGCCCCACTTCCGTATCTTACCCTGCCGCTCTCCCTCTCCCTCTATCTCTCGCTCCGGTGAGACCAAGGGGGCAAATGAAATCCGGTGGATTGGTTGGCTCAAAATGAATGTCTTTCTTTCGCTTTCATTGTGGACCGTCTCCGAGAACGCCCCTAGATTTAGGTTTTCTGCACCACCGTGCCTACAGTCAAGCACGGGTAGCCATCCGTTTGTTCTTATCAAGGCGCAGTTTGACAACGACTGTGGACTCTGCAGAATATAGCACCAGCATGTGGGTGGTATGTGGAAAGTCATCAACTGTTTTTCCGTACGGATTGTGCGACGAGAATCCCACTTCTGACGCATGGTCCTTCTTTCTTCTTCTTCTCTCGCCGAGATTTGACCTCTCACTCTTCGGTTTCATTACGAGATGTCAATCAAAACGAAAGAATTAATACAAATCGCTATCGCTCGTCACGGAGCACATGCCAAGTCCTGATTCTCAACCTAGAGTCGCTGTGAACGACCTCACGTGCAAGTGGACTTCATGCTTATGACAACCAAGTGTTAGCCATCGATTTGGACACTTCCTTGGAGAGAATTCCACAACATCTATGAAAAGTGAAGAGAAGTGCAGCCGAGTTGTTGCCCCGAACGGAGTTCCGTCCCGAGAACCACCTGTTGAATGCTCATCCACATTACGGAACAACGTTCGTACACGACTTCGTCGTCTTTGATGTCAACCTCCAGACCGGGGGATTGTAGAAAGGTACCCGCCGATAATCACTGAGATAAGCACAGTTTGGGCCCAGTAATATCTTCTTCTCAACTTCTTTTGTCAGCTTTGCTTTACAGTCAGCCTCGCTCGCTCTTATCTAAATAAATATCCACGTAGATCTCACTGCCATGTTATGTAGCGTAGTATGTATCTGCAGGTGCTAATAAGACATGGTAACTTTGATCAGAAAATTTGACAGATTTGTGCAGCGATCAAGTTGAAACGACTTAATTATTCTTATGACCTGAACTGGATTCTTCGAAAAACTTTAATTAGTCATGTAGTTTTTTATTAGGCTTACACGAAGCAAGTCTAGAATATTTAAAACTAAAGAACTGTATCCCTGGGAATCCGGTTGCATAGTCTCATGCACGGTTTGGATGAGAAAATAAATATTTGCTTCTCGACTCTAATTCATTTACCCCATTCGTTGTTTTCCTTCCTTATGTTTTGCTAGGCGCAGCAGTTGAGTCCAATGCTTGATGTAATTAAAACGTAAGCTACGCTGTGAGAAAATGTGAAATGTGCCATTGAGATAAACTTATTTGGATGAATCAAAATTTGATGATAATAAAAAAAATCAAGTTATGAATAAGCTATCGTTTACGAGAGAAAATTATTCTTTTTAATTCTTTATTTGTTATGCCCTTGTGATACAATTCTTATTTAAATGCAAAATCTTACAAATTTAAACAATTATTATATTTCAACAACTCACATCTTACTGCATACGGTAGATTGGACACATCCTCACCACTATGTTTAAAAATGTATACATTATGACATTTATACATTACAGTTTAATCTTTTATCATTATGCATAGTTGATACACATTTGTTGTTGCATTGTTGTTAAATATTATTTCATCTTGCATGCTTTATACATGTTTGTTCATGCAGTATTGTTGATTTCCACATTGAATATCTAAACAACTACTTGCTGTATAAGATTTGTATCATCAATTTCGATTATCTTCATTTGATCTCTTCATTCATTTACATTTGCAATACATGCATATGTATTGCGAATTTAACTGATTAAGTATATGGATATGACATTAAAAGCTCACCTTATTCAAAAATTTTGATTTTAAAATCTGATTCAAACTATATATAAATTCCTTTCAAATGTATATTCATTTCAAATGTTGATCAATTTACAATTAATTTGATCATACTTAGTTAGATTACATTTGAATAATTTTTGTAAGCAAGTGAAATAAGATAATGATTAAAATTTTATTTTTAGCTTTCTAAATAACACTTTCATTGCAAATGTTTGTCAACTAAGTTGTATGTCTCATTGACATTAATGATTTTCAAGATGAGATTTTGAACATGAAATCTAAAATTGCATGAATACACCGGATTTGATTTAATGATTTTTATAATATTGCAAAGTGTCATCAAATGTATTGTTTCATCTATATAGGTACCCATCAATAATAACTTCATCAATGATCATGACTTCATCTTCTTTATTATTTTCAACGGGTATAAAATTGCTTCAAGATTGATCATATTTACAGAACGGCAATGATGTAAAAAAAATTTAGATTTAGATATAAAGCTAAATTTATAATAAAGAATTTATAATAAATTTTTTTGTTGAAATTGTGGTCAAATTGCTCTCAATAAGAAAAAACTCTTGTGTGGTGTTCAAACCTAATGATATTACATCAATCAATGGTTCAAATTATATGCATGAAACATATTAATGTTGATGAGCTTCAAAAAATATCTTCAAACAATAAATTTTAACAACAAAATTCTACCATGCAATAATTATAACATTTTATAAAGTATTCATCAATTTTTGATAATCATGATATTGAGTTTAGAAATAGTGATGAAGAATGTAATAACGTCTAAATCAAAAAACTCTAGTTTTATAAAAGAAGTTCAATACTCTATCAATAACTTTAAATGAAAAAATCTAATTTGAAACATGATATGCAAATCATTAATTAATAGCAAGGCATGGAAGCTAATGAAGCTCACAAAAAGAAATCAACATTGTTAATAGCAAAACATGGAAGCTAATCAAGACTATAAAATTTTTTTAGCTTTTTGATAGCAAGTGAAAATATAAGCTAAATAACAATTCATCATATGACGAGATAAAAATCTTCATACCCAAGTAGATAACTTGAGATTTGACACAAGAAAAAATAAATACTACACAAAATAATTATCAACTGTCACAAGATATGCCAAAATTTGACTAGAATGTGCACTTGTAGCAATATTCAGTTAGGTTATGGATATAATTTTAACAATATCTAGAAGTTGTACAAACATAACATAAATAAATTTGCCTTAAGATTGTTAAAAGTTAAAACCTTATTTTGTTTAAACCTTATTTTAATTTAAATTTAAACAAATCTTTAAAAACGTATTTATTGTGCGCTTGATAGATTTAACATGACTGACTTCAAAGTAATATAGACTCTTTTGCGAACTCTATTCAATGTGCATTGATAACATTGAAAAGTCATCAACTTCCTATGCCCTAACAATGACCATACTTTTGTATTGTATGTTATGCACAAAACTTTATGTTGCTTTAATCATTTACAAGATGAATAGATTCATGTATGCATTTGAAGGTTGTGAAGTAGATTTTCATGTAGTTTTAAATATTATGATAATTTTTTTGACTTATTAGACAATGTCAAATATACAATATGTTATGTTTAATTTAGACAATGTCAAATATTTGCTATGTTATGTTGATGATGATTGCTACAAAAGTAATTCTACAATTTGATATGTGTTTACATTTGATGGTGAATGAATTTGTTGAAGACTTATTTTATTAAAGTGCATAAGGTAATGCATAATAGAAGTTGTAATATGTAATGATATCATGAAGCGCAAAAATAAATATTTGATTAAACAGACTGAGATGATATTAAAATAGAAAATTGTCAATTTTCATTGTGGTAGTAATTTTGCATATTATTATGTTAAAAATCAAATTATAGATAGTAAAGTAAAATACATCAAAATAATGTATATTTTATCAAAGATGTAATTTTTGATAAAAAGGTTGGATTAATCAAAATTAAACGGTAAATATAGTCAAACTGATGTGTTGATCAATATCATTGATTAAAAATGTTTACATTACATGTAACTACTTTGAAGATTTTGCACGAGTAACACAAACAAGAGAAAAGATTTTTTAAATTTAAATGTGTTTTTTTTCTATATTGTTTTTGCTACAATCTTATTTTGAAGAGGAATATATATATGTTAGATTGTTTTTTGATATTTGTTGAAGAGTTTATATATAGGTTTTGGAAGTTTTAATTACTACAACAAGATTTAGGGTTAGATTGTTAATATCTAACTTGGATATGCTTGCAATTAGAATTAGCTTGAATAACTATTTCCAATACTAATAGTGATATTAGATAAACTGCAATTATATGATATACCTGAAAAAAAATTCTAAAATATGGTTTAACAATTTTTTTCAATACAATTTAAGATGATTTTAGATGAACATAACATATAGTAATGGACCATGAGAGTATATGTAAATGTGTGTTTTGGTATGGGAATATGATTGACTAATGCCATAATTCATAAGTTAGCATTATTAACGATTTTCATATTTTGTTGCTTAATCAATTCTTACAATTAGTTGAATTATAATATATTTCTTTCTAGCTTCTTTCATACGGATTATATCAGAATGTGATAATTTTTTATGAAATATTGGATTTAATTTATAAAATATATAAATTTAAACTCTACAAATATAATTGGAATTTTATATGTTATTAATTTGGAGATTATTTTTATATATTATTCAAATGATGGAAGCTTTTGAAATATATAAACAATCATGATATTACTATCAAACTATTATGACATATCAATCATAATCAATATAAAGATTTATATCAACAATGCTATTTATGAAATGTTTATTAACTTTTCAAGTATAATTGAATGTATTATGATAAAATTTCATCAATTATATCCATATTGATTTCTTTTAGGAAATTGCTAGGCACACACCCCCCTTGCTAGGCACACAACCCCCCTTTTGTTTTTCGTTTCCTGGTCTCTTCTGTCAAATAGTCCCGGACGTTGCGATAGTCACCAGCTTGTGCGCAGGCTAGCCATACTTTGCGCTTCTCGCCGCCCTTGTTGACCTTGGAGCGTAGGCGACTCAAGCTGTACCCGTTCCTGTGAGCAAAGGCAAAGATCTCCGTCTCGGTTTCTTCCAACGACGCGTAGACGCAATCCAGCGGCGGTGGCTCCATATTTAGTGATATGGTGCCTCTGCGAGTGAGACAGCTACTTCTGTAGATCTGAGCGTGCAATTAAGGTCACGGGCGGTCATCCCTCTTTGGGGGGTGTGTGACTAGCAATGAACTTCTTTTAAACATGTTATATTAAGATTTTCATGAAAAATAGGTTATTTGTGTTAAATCAATCTGAATTGGATTAACATACAACACAGGGTTGTCTTAATGCAAAAGTTGATTTAATTAAGTTCGAAACATTTTTAAAATCTTAGAAGCATTGAATAGTGACAACAACACAAATGTGCTAAGTTGAAGATGATAAAAAGGTGTTGAAATTGTAACGAATAACAGCCAATACGCAGTGAGCAGAAGGTGCTTACATCTAATGTGACATAGTTAGGGATTGGTCAATGATTTCAACTGGCGTCTTTTATTACATGTGCGTCCGGTTTGCCGTGCTAAGTGCAAGCCACGGATCAAAGTAAAGTTGTTCTGCAAAGAGTCCAAAACGTGACGCCGTCGTACTCTAAACTGCAGCCAGTGCTTGTGGTACTGAGGAACTGCGAGGGACACGGAAGAGCACGAGCTGCGGAATGGAACATGTTCAAAGATGTCGACAGCTGCCGAGCATGTGCTTTGAGACAGAGTGGGCAGTAAGATCGTCTGATAATTAGAGCAGCCGTGGGCCAAGACCACGGGATCGGTCGATCGATTCTATCGATCAACATCGTTGCGGTCGTCGGGATTTTGAGAAGGGGCGGACATGAAGGTCAGAGCAGCAGTGCGGCGGCTCTGCGAGTACTGTAGAGTGGTCAGGAGACGAAACAGGGTTTTCGTTCTGTGCACGGCGAATCCCAAGCACAAGCAGCGTCAGGGATTTTCTGATCTGGCTTTTCCAGATTCTATAACCCAGTGAGTCTTTGCTCTGGCGATCGGGGAAGTGGATCTTGGAAATTGGTTTCTCTCAAGGCTGTTCTGGGCCTTTATCTGCGTATTTTATTTACTGCATTCGTCTATGTAACTCACCCAGTATAATTTGACTTTTTTCTGTTCGAATTCTTATCAAACTTACGACGACACTCGAATTCAGCTTTGGACTTCAACTTTTAGCTTTGGATCCAAACTTTGAGATTGATCGTGAGGTCGCTTTTGCCCTAGTTCGTATCGCTGTGGAATTCCTTAACTCTTTGTGAGCTCCAGAGAATGCAGGTAGTCAGGATTGTTTAGTTTTTCGAATCTGATGGTTTCAATCTGAGATGGTTTTAAAAGTTGAATTTGATAAGTCGGTGGTTGCCTTTGCCCGATTTGGAGTCGAATTTGATACCCTGTTAGATTATTAATATGCTGCAAAATCCTTGGAACGTTTACTATCAGGCCTCTATGATTGTTTTGATTAATTGATAAAGTCAATTGTGGGGGGGTGTGTGTAATATTTTTAAAGCTTCAGGGAATTGTACATTGATGGGAAAGCATGTGTTTATTTTCATGCGCAGGTTGACTTCTACAACTGCACTTTCGGACCTTTCTCTTAGATCTAAAACTCCAATGGGTGCCAATACATTATCTCCGTTGAGCTGGTAAGTTTCTGCTAACCTCTATCCCAGATACGCTTCCGAATCTAGTCATTATGTTCCGCCAGGTTTAGTGAGAAGTCAAGGCAAGTTTTCATATCAATTACCCTCTGGGCAGACCTATTACGTTGGTCAGATCATCTGAACCTATGTCTTTCATTGACAGGACCTCGGGAAGTACTACGCAAACGAAATACGTTTACAGAAACGGTGGGGGTGTTGGATTAGCATCTCTCTTGAACGGCTCGTGTTAATGACTCAGATTTTGAAACGGCTACTTGTATAAGTTGCCCCTTTACAACGAGGTGTAGAAAATGCTTATATGCTGAGCAGAATGCTGACGCTGGGCATTTTATACTCGAGGCTATAAAATTTTGTCAACCTTTGGAGAGATAGTGTACGAATGCAAGCTTTTGCGAAAGTTCAGTGCAGAAAAAATTGACTTCTCTTTGGAAGTAGCTTGTTTCTGAGGAATCTTTTTTGGACCAGAGGGTTGAGGTCTGCACTGCTGACACCAGAGAGCTTGTTGGCTGGATTGTAAAAAAAATTCCACCCACATATTGAGTTATGCATATACGCTCTTGATGACTAATGCATGAAATTGGGATAGTTTCTGTGATCATTTTGAGGTTATCAAGTTACCTTCACCTGAGATGGTGCAAAGTTCACCAACTAAAACAGATCATCCGGTATGGGTCCAGTGTGCGCAGATATATCTGATATTGATATTTCATGCTTGAGACTGGAACTATTAGACTCACTTACTCGTCTAATAGTTTGATTCTGAGAGGCCATTCTATCATCGGGGGCCGTGTGATGTATGTCTTAAGAGATTTTACTAGTCTGGTTTTACAAGCCGCAAGTGAACCATCTTGTTTTTCTCTCGTAATCCAGTAGCAAGGCGAGATCAACACGCACAGATGGATGGACATGCACTTTGTTTCCTTGCAATATTCTTGGACAACATTCGTCTTTGCGCCTCTTGAGTCGTATTCAAATTCTATCATAAAGATGTTTCTCTCCATTTTGATTTTTTAACTGTAAGCGATGCTCTCTTCTCACAAACAACCATCCATCTACCGGCAACGTGTTCATCCTATCTTTACTCTACTTGCCTGTCTGTTACCACTAGCACAGCTTGGGCTGGGTGAGGTGTCTATGGTCTTCACTGCATGAGATGCTAATGAAAGTATTGTCACCAGTTCTTGACATACTGTATTAACTCAGACTAAAACGCTGTATGTTCTTCATTAAGTTTGTCTATCTAAACTGTATTTTTAAAACTCTACACACCCTAATGTGTCATTCCGTTTTTTGCACTAAGAAATCAGTGTTGGCTGTCTGAAGGAGAAAGGCCCATTGATGCAATGAAGTACGAGTAAGTTGAGATGCTAAGTAACGTGATGTCCTTCTCCTCTACAAGTCTTTGGAACTTGGGTTCAGAGATAGTCACCTTAGGGGGCTGAGCTTTGCCCCGACGGAACCCACCTAAATTGGAGCTACCAAATTCATTGGGTGTTCTTCTCAACATTGTTACTTATCAGAAGTACAAATCAACAATCTGACTTCTGTTTTCATCTGTTTGTGAGGACATTATAAGCCTTCCTTCTCTCATACTCTGTTTCCGTATCTGCATCCATGTCTCGACTTTGTTTCTCCCTTTTTATGCATGCTTGTTGTTTATGTGTTCGTTTATGGTGTGTAACTTTGCATCTCCAACTTTGCAGTCTAGATTTACCATCAAGTTGCACTGTGAACGTACCTAGTGCTACTTTCCTAATTCCTAAAATGGTTTTGTGAAGATGATCTAAATGCAATGCAAGACGATGTGTAGTATTGCATCTGTTCTTTGTGCCTGACATTAAAAATTGACTTGTCAATTTTTGAAGGACATGAAGTAATGGTACAGATCCATATTGCCTCTTTAATGTATATAAAACATGTGCGAGTTGAGGTTTATAGATGAATTCATGTTATGAGCTCTGCAGCTCAATCTTCTTAGTATGACGATACATGTTTAAATTATATTTATGATGTATTTCTGGCTGCGGCAATTTTATATCTGTATTTTATAATTATGTTTAATTTTTAATTTTTTAATTGGAAATAGACATACTCTAAGTATCCAGTCTGACAATTTTATTAGTAAATAAGTTGGCTATGTATAATAACTATGATCAATTCTAGTCATCTGACGTACATTTTAGACTTCATAGTTTATTTAATTTATCTTGATGATATAAAGAAAAAAAATCATGCAGATAATAGGTATTCTACAAAAGGTGTTAGTATCATATCTAGATTGATTTTAAATGATGTTCTCTCAATCAGGTGGATGATTCATAAGTGATTTATGTAGATAACAATAACAAATGACATATAATCAATACATTAGGCTTATAATGAGTTTTTTGCTTCAGCAACAAAGGACTTCAGTGAATTACTTTGGGCACATTACAATGTTTGGAATATTTTATAAATTTTGCTCTACAAGTATCTAGAGAAATATATATGAAACCAATTTGCTTGTAAAAGAAACATAAATTTGACCATTCTTTCACATTTTGAATACAAATACAGACTAATTTATTCAAATGAGTATTGAAAAAGGGTACAAAGTATTTTATATATATTTAAACTATATGTATAATATTGTAACAACGTTCAAATTTCGTACCACGTTAGAGGTCAAAGATATTAACCAGCTTTCTATCCAAAATTTTGTTGGTAAAAATATAATATCTTGCTTTGCATGATGTCATACATCATTGATATATGCTTAAATTAAAAAAATATGAACTTCTTACATCAATGAGTTACATAATTTATCTAATGATAGATTTGAAACATGTTATATGTTTAATAATATTCTCAGCCTTAATAAATTTGCATAATAGATGAACGCATCAACATAGAGATTAAAGCATGATATATTGTTGAATTATTTAGACTGTGATTATGTTTAAACCATAATACCATTTTATTATGTTTTCTTTGCTTCTTGTTAATAGAATCATTTTGTGACAAAAATATAATATAATAATTTTTTTTTGGGTCAAATCAACTCCCATTATATTTTGGATGTATATCGAACTATGTGAATACTGCTGATATCCTTAGGTTAGAAAGCTATTTCTATTTTTTAATTACAACTCTTTGGAAGCATAGATGAACAAAGTTAAGATTTGTATGACATTATGATGTTTTATAAGTTTAATAAAATTTAGTTTTTAAAAAATACAAAAACTGTGAGATTGTTATACTGATACTATAACACTATTTTTATCTTCCAAATCATTAAATATGGATTGTGAGACTTGTATTTTAAAAATGACTCCTATGACATAGAATGTAATTGTTGAACTTTTTTTTTCAATTAAGATTATAAATGAAAGATTTTAATTTTTTTGAATGTGATAAGTAAACGAAATTTTTAAAATATCAACTATGATTTTTGTGTTAATTTATTTTAGTATGTTTATTTTAGTTGATCTAATAGTAATCTATGTTGTGATGTAATATGTATGTGCTCAAAAGCTGTATAATAATGCAATTCAAATATAATTGATGTTGATATTACTTGAATTGCTGCAAATTTATTTATTTAAAAAAAATTAGGTTTTTTTTCAATTCCTAGGATATATAATGCTCAAATGTGGAATTAAGGTAATTTTTTTGTGAATTGAAAATTTATCAATTTAGACTTAGATGTTGTAGTTATAATGATTAGCAATTAGTGAAAGAATGTAAAATAATTAGTGAAAGAATCTAGAATATTTGATGACTAGATTTGGATATCTTTTTGATGACTTTATATAATTATATATTTTGCATGTACACTTAATTAAGTTTAATATAATGTTATCTATGTATGATTTTTTATGTGGTATTATAATATATATGACAAGAAATGTATGTTGAATGTAAATATATTTTTGCACAACAATATTATCAAAACAAATATATATCATATATTTTCATTGATATGAGATTTTTAAGTAAACTGTTGGTATACAAATTCAACAATAAAACTTACCATAAAATTCAAATAATCATATTTCAAATTTCAAATATTCAAATAATCATATAATAATCAAATACATTCAATTTTAAAATTTCATCATATATTTTGTAAGCATTGAAATTAAAATAAATTTTTTTCTCACAAAAATAATCATTCTTTAAAACTATTGGTCTATCAAGCATACTTGAATTTTTAGCTAGTTTGTTTTTACTTTTACAACATAGTTATGAGACTCTAATAATTTCAAAATTAATTTTCTAATAAAATTTTGAAATATCTACTTAGATCTACAATGATTAAGTAAATTATGAAACTCTTTGGAATTTTAATTTACTTGCGTCAATTATAATACAATGAGGAATTAAATATCTATGTGATGTTTTGAAAATATATAAAATAATATTGTTATGTTTGTATATCCTATATCTTATTGTATTCAAAGTATTTTTCAAGTTAGTTTGTATATAACTAAATAATTATCATTAAATAAGTATAATCAAGTACATTTTTTATACAAGGCATAAATTTAGAATTTTCTCCTTTTACTCAATTCTATAAACAACAAGTTTGAATCCAAATATACATGTGTAAGTATATTCTTTTAATACATCAAATGTTCACACATATCAATATTCGACATTGAACTGAAAAAAAAATATTTTTTTGCAATGTGTTTACATTTTTAATGTGTATTTTTAAATATTATTTCACGCGTAAGGAGCTTTGATGGTTATTATATATTGATTGGTACTTACCAATCAACATTTATTCAAATCAGATATAATTGCGTTTCAAAAAAATTATAATATAGACCCAAGATACACAATTTGTCCAAACTGTGTATTTTGAAATATTTTCAAGATATAAATAAATAAGATATAAGAAGATGAGAAATCTTGTGAGTTTTTAAAATTTGAAAATGTTGAAAAACTTGGAGTATTGAATTTTTTTGTTTCATTGATCCACTCATATCATTTTTGATTAGATGTTGCATCGATATTTTTGTTACATATGTTTAATTTTTTTTATATTTACATCTTTTGGAACTTTTGTGATCACTTCATAGCCGTTCACACATTTTTATCAATGAAGATTGAGCTTATTCTCATCAAATAACTATAGTTAGCAATTTGATTTGATTCTTTATGTGTGGAAATTTTGGAACTACATATCAATCATTTGTGCAATTTTTTGTCAGATTAACAATCCGTGCCATGTGTTAATAATCAAAATCAATAAATTTCTTAATTCAAAAAGATAAACTAGACGATGCATTGGGATATGAGTATGGATTTGTATAATTGGATTTTTTTTTCACTTCATTCTATAATACCATATAATATCAAATGTATCATACAACACTTAAAGGTACACCTAATTTGTAGAATTCACTTCGTTCATCATCTCCTCCTTGACCTCAAAGATATCCTCATCATGCATGCCGTCAAAGACCTCGAATATGTCAACGCAATCTAATTCATCGATGTAATCATCATCAATATCCTCGTCCTCGTCCATGGGATCCTTTTCAAGTTCAGCTTTATATTCATAGGTGAAATTGAGTTGCTGTAGACACTTGCAAAACTTTAAATCTTTTGTTGCAAAGATTTGATGATCAAGTTATTTTGAATTGAATAGAATGGTGGTAATTGTCTTGATCTTGTGTTTGCTCAATCAAGCTTGTGAACTACTATTAACGCGTTTGTCCCCCTTA